AGGACATATACCGGGTGATCAAGATTCTGAATTCTGCACGACCCGGTATTTGTTTCAATTAAATGTCAGTAGATAGTTGATCAAAAGTTGAGATAGGGACATGTGAGCCGTTTCAATTAATAATGAATAGTTTCGACAAAAAAAATTCCTAAAGTTGAAATATGTCGATTTTTCACACCCTATATCTCTGTAATCATTTCCGCTAGAACCCAAGTGTGATAAATCGATGAAATCAGCTCTTCAGAGAGAATCTGAAAATGCAATAAAATACAGGGTGTTGCATTTAAAATAACAAAGTTGTTGCTACTTTTCGATAGAAGCGGCAACGCTGCAGAGCTGAAAATATTTTAGATCGATAGACCAAGAACAACTACGTGAGTAACCAAAATTTCAGAATGATCCTATGTCCCGTTCTCCATAAACGTCTAACGTACCATCGACCGTGAGTTACCCTGTATAGCAAATAAAAAACAACTAATTTATAGTGTGATAAGTATATCTCTGTAATCATTTCCGCTAGAACCCAAGTGTGATAAATCGATGAAATCAGCTCTTCAGAGAGAATCTGAAAATGCAATAAAATACAGGGTGTTGCATTTAAAATAACAAAGTTGTTGCTACTTTTCGATAGAAGCGGCAACGCTGCAGAGCTGAAAATATTTTAGATCGATAGACCAAGAGCAACTACGTGAGTAACCAAAATTTCAGAATGATCCTATGTCCCGTTCTCCATAAACGTCTAACGTACCATCGACCGTGAGTTACCCTGTATAGCAATGAAAAAACAACTAATTTATAGTGTGATAAGTATATTTTTTTTTATATTGACTTTGAATCTTGTTTCATCATCAATATGTTTCAAATCATAAGGTAATGAATTATATAAAATGATTCCGTTGTAGAATACTGATTGTTCGCCAATAATATTGAGTTATATCTGTTTGCTATGAATGAATTCAACTGTCTCCTTTCATGAGTATGAATTGTATTTACTTCAGTAAAGTTCAAGTTAGATTTTCTCTCTTACAAAATGAATGAAAACGAATTTTTAGTTTATATGAAGATGATAAATTCTAGAGATTTTTTGGTTTGTATATCAATCGAGTTCTTTTCTATCTAGAACGAGAGAGAGTAAAGTTCTCTCCTCTTCCATCTCTCTCTGCAATGCTACCAACGTGGCCGCATTGAAATATAGATGGGTCCGATAAATCTTTCCTTGTCTAACATCTACTTTGTGCCACAGAACTATTTTTCAATTGAGCATAGTGTCAAATTTAACGATATCAAGAAATTATGTCAAAATAAGTGTGATATAAATCAAAATTTCATTTCAAAAATTCTAAATGTCATCAGTAAATGACATTCATGACATAGCATATCACGTCATTATAATATCGAAAATAGTTTAGTGGCGCAGACTAGATGTTAGACAAGGAAAGATTTATCGGATCTCTCTATATTTCAATGCGGCCACGTTGGTAGCACTGAAGAGAAAGATAGAAGAGGAGAGAACATTTCCTCTCTCTTGTTCGAGGTAGAAAAGAGCTCAATTGACAGATTTGAAGTACCAAATGAAGTTTACTGAAACATTTCAAGGTACAATCGAGAATTTCAAGATGAATAAATTGGGTTTATGAAATATACAGGGTCCCATCCACTCAAACTGTTTTTAAATTCAGCTTCTAGAGCGCATGAAAGAGAATCCCTATTATGTTCTTGTACTTATGAAGTTTATTGAAACATTTCAAGGTACAATCGAGAATTTCAAGATGAATAAATTGGGTTTATGAAATATACAGGGTCCCATCCACTCAAACTGTTTTTAAATCTAGCTTCTAGAGCGCATGAAAGAGAATCCCTATTACGTTCTTGTACTTATATCCAGGAAAAATATAGGTATTGCAAGGAATTCCTGCAAATTTTGAAATTGATTCATTTTATGTCTCCTGTCTCAGCTGGTAGGTTAGCTAAAATATTTCCTATGATTTTCTCCTTCAATTAAATGAACGAGAATGTTTGTGTCTTGAAGCTTCAATCTAGTGATTATTTCTTGACCAGTCATTGCAAATAGAATATTTGTGGAGAAAAAACAGTTTCCCCTTGTCGGTTACAATGAAACTTTTATTGAATACAAGACAGTATCATACATTTTGGCAAAAATTTGCAGCAATGAAAAATCATTGTTTGGTGTAAATGAATAATAGGCCACAGTGAAATAGGCTGAACAATTCTTATTCAACCAGGGTGAGTTTCATGAATAGATCAAATTAATAAAACAAAACATACAGTATTCGAAACAAATAGTTTTTTACGACCCGTTTACGAGGTGAAACCTTGGACAAATAATTATTTGCCACCCTGTATCACAGTGAAATGATTCACCATTTTTTTCGTTGTTTTCACACAAAAAATTGATGACAATGACGTTGATACTGCAAATAGAAGCGGAGATCATATACATGATTCTTCAATTTTTGGTCCCACCTATTTGATAAATCCCATTTGGTCGGTCATTGTTTTTCATCTCCCATAGGAACAATTTATACAGGGTGGGCCACCAGTAACGCCTCGGTCTCTAGAAGGCTAACCACTCATCTTCTTGGAATTCTTCCTCTCTAGAAAGTTGCATGTCAACATGGGCTACCATTTGAAATTATTTTGAAACATACAGGATGTCCCCAAAAATCACAAAACACTGAAGTTGAACTTTTTTCTATCGAACACCCTATATATTATTTCATTTTGAGATTCTCCCTGATGAGCTGATTTCAACGACCCATCATACTTGGGGTCTAGCAGTTATAATTACTGAGATATAGGGTGTGAGAAATCGAGATTTCCCAAGTTCAAGAATTTTTTGTGTCTAAACCATTCATAATTGGTCAAAACGGCTCACATGTCCCTATCTCAACTTTTGATCAAGTATCTACTGACATTTAATTGAAACAAATAACTGCTAGACCCCAAGAATGATGGGTCGTTGAAATCAGCTCATCAGGGAAAATCTCAAAATGAAATAATATATAGGGTGTTCGATAGAAAAAAGTTTAACTTCAGTGTTTTATGGTTTTTGGGGACACCCTGTATGTTTCGAAATAATTTTAAATGGTAGCCTATGTTGACATGCAACTTCCTAGAGAGGAAGAATTCCAAGAAGATAAGTGGTTAGCCTTCTAGAGACCGAGGCGTTACTGGTGGCCCACCCTGTATAATCTTGTATTTTATTTCACTAACTTGTCGCCTATCAATAGTAGATAAAACTTCACAAACTATGAGATTCCCACAAAATTATCACAAAAACACAACAGGTAGCTTCTACAAGTGAAACAGGTCGTTATTTATGATTCTTTTGTGGAAATATCTCACTTTATGGAGTTTTTTCGATTTTTCTTGCCTTACTTTCATTCTGAAAGCATACATTTTTATGAACCGAATGGCCTCATATAAGTTCACTTGGATTTGTCATAAACTTGAAATATTTCACAGAACATTCGCGAATTTCAAATAATCGTGATTTCACTTTGTTTCAATTCCACATTCCCTCTTTGTCACTTCATGCCCCAAAAACAATCAATTTTCCTTCAACTCAAAACAAAATAATTAAGAAACTATAATCACCTTGGTATCAAACCGCATTCAGGAAATTCAAGGAAAACTCAAACCAATATTGAATAATTTTTCAACTATTATTGTTCACCCTTTATAGTTTATATACACAGTTGATGATGTCATGAATAGTGCAAAGTGTTGTCATACAATTGAGAAATTAATAAAGATCCTTCAATGTAAACATATATCATTTCGTTATCAAACTAATACACTGGCTGTATCAAATGTACACCAGACCTACATTTCTGTAGACGAAATCCTACATGGTCCTTCGAGCCGGATCATGTAAGGTTTTGCCTACAGAGATATAGGGCTGGTTGCCACTTTTTTTTATCGCTAGTGTATTAGTTTGATTATACACACACACCAGCACAATTAGGGAAACGGGCAAAATTTACACTAAGTTTGACATCAATTTCTTCATGAACCCATCGCTGGATTAAATATATCGTCTCCAAGAATTGTAGCTTGATTCTTCACGAATACATCTGACAAATAACCATCGTCAGACGATTCGTCTTTATATCATATACAGGGATGTAAAGAATGTACGGATTTTTTGGTATGTTTCAAGACATCCTGTGGAGTGAACCACTGATAATTGAAACGATTTCTCAACACCAAATTGTGACCCACTCTAATCCGAATATTTTCATTTTCTATTCATTTTGATATCTCAATTATTACAGAATTTATAGTTTTAAATAAAATGTGGATATTGATCTCAATTTCACCGTCCTCTACACCCGAACTGGGATTAAGATAATCTTCCTAAAAAAATGATTGATAATGTCATCGGAAGCATGAGGAGACAGATGACTGCTGTAATAAGGACGCGTGGAGGTCACATGCGTTATTGAAATCATTTTAGTTGTTTTGGATCTATATTGTTTGTTGAGTTAATGTTATTGTTATTGAATGAAGGCTTTGAGTAAATTACTTTTCTTTTCAATCACCTCTGTATATTTCCAAGAATTCTTGACACAATACGTGAAACTTAGAGCAATATTCAACTCGAAGTGGAATCTTGAATAATGGAGATACCAGTATGAATAGAAAAAGAAAATGTTCGGAAAAGATCATGCTACAATTTTGTGATACAGACTGGTGTCAATTGTCCTTGATTCACTCCACAGGATGTCTTGAAAAATACCGAAGAATCCGTACTTTCTTTCCACCTCTGTATATGATATAAAGACGGATCATTCGAAGGTGTTTACTCGTCACTGAATGAATGAATGAATTTATTACGTTCCAAAAAACATAAAAATGTCATCTAGGAACACCTCTGTTACGTGTTACAAGTCAGTTTCACATATTACATAATATTTGACACAATAATTAAATTATTGACCTGTTATCAATTTAGTATTTCGTGAAGAATCAATCGAGCGGTGGGTCCAAGAAGAAATTGATGTCAAAGTTAGTGTGAAGTTTGCCCGTTACCCTAATTGTGCCGGTGTGTGTAGTTTGACATTGAAGGTTCTTTATTGATTTCTCTCAATTGTATGAAACAATTTCATAGTATGCATGATAATTTCAGTAACTGTGTATATAAATGGTGAACAATAATAGTTATAAAATGGTAGTCACATTCGGTATTTACAAAACTCGAAACCTGTACAAAATACTCTATGTTTATTTGTTCAGGTAAGTCAAAGCGACAAAGAAACATAATCAAACTTCAAATCGCTCCATAATTCCAGCAACCTACTTGTCCACAAACGTCCTCACTATCCCCTCAGTGTACTACTCGGCGACCCAAAATTATCGATATCCCTCTGCGTCCTGCTGATCTTGCTCTTGTCCTTGGGCATCTCCCGCAAACATCTTCATCTTCTCCTTGAACGACAGCTTCTCAGGCACGGCCTGCGATTGGTCGAAAACCTCCCCCAACCCACCGCACTACCCCCCTCCCAATATGTATTCCCTTTAGTGCACCATACTGGGCGACCCCAGATTATCGATATCCCTCTGCGCCCTGCTGATCTTGCTCTTGTCCTTGGGCGTCTCCCTTTCTCCCGTCTCCATAGCGAACATCTTCATCTTCTCCTTGAACGAGAGCTTCTCGGGCACGGCCTGCGATTGGTCGCCGCGGCGCTGCGCCTGTTCGGCCAGCCGGCGCGTGCGCGGGTCGCGGTACACCTCCTGGGCGCCGATCACTCCGGGCGTCGCGACGGCTGACGGGCCGCCGCTGCCGGGAGAGGCGTCAGTTGGGGTGGTGGGGGAGGCCAGCATCGACTCCGCCTGCCGGATGAAGCTCTGGAAAGAGGATATATTGGAGATGAGTTTTCGTTTGTATATCCGGCTCGAAGGACCATGTAGGATTTTGCCTACAGAAATATGGGGCTGGTTCTCACTTGATGCAGCTAGTGTAGTAGTTTGATAGCAAAATTATATACAAGGTGGATTCAACGAAAACTATACAGTGTGGTCATTTAGGTGTGCAACATATGGGAATCTTTTTGAAGAATTGCACAACCAAAATACAGATAGTGCCGAAAGTTGGTGCATGTTCAGTGATCATTTTCGGTGCACTTAAAATAGTTGCAAGTCCAACAGCAAACAGGGTAGGTCAAAAAATATATTGTTCAAGAGTGACGTACCCTTATTTCAGAAAATTCAGCATAATGGCCTCCCGAGACATATTTGAGTTTTTAAATTCTTTTCGTTAATAATTTCCCAATTTGAAATTTCTTTTATATTCACCCTGAACACTTCCATAAGTTAATCATAACAAAACCAGTTGATCATACCTTTGTTCAAATTCAAGCATATTTGTACAATTAACTTGGATTTTGATTTTAAATTCAAAATCCAAGTTGATTGACCAAATATTCTTGAATTTGAACGAAGGTATTCTCAACTGATGTTGTTATGATTAACTCATGAAAGTGTTCAGGGTGAATATAAAAAAATTACAAATTGGGAAATTATTAACGAAAAAAACTGAAAGAATGTCTTAGGAGGCCATGCTTTGGTATTTATGCATAACTTCCAATTGTTTACAACTTTTCTCAATAACATTTGACCGAATTTTCCGAAATGAGGGTACTTTACTCTTGAGCAATTTCAAGAAGTTTTACCTACCCTGTATGCTGTTTGACTTGTAACCACTCTAAGTGCACCTAAAATGATTACCGAACATGCACCAACTTTTGGCACTATCTGTATTTTGGTTGTGCAATTCATTAAAAAGATTTAGCGAAGCCGAGCAAAATCGAAATATGCGAGTCGAACGAAGTCACTTTTGATCCGAATGAACAATCAACTCAAATAAATATGTGAAGTAACCAGCAATGCCGTGCCATATGTATGCAATGCAACAAATCAAAATCAATGCAAAATCCGTGTGGTGAGAATATTCCACCTGCATTAACAGCAGGTTTATTCAATTTTCAAGGATGATCGAATTGTAGTTTCAACATAAATACAATCACAGAGTGACATATTTGTGTATGGACCAGGTGCTCTAATGGCAAATACCGCGCCAGTGCCAGCTATAGGAACAAGACGTGGAATATGTTAGGTTATTGAGCATATCAACAATAATAATTGTTAGGGTTGGCTATTTGGGTTGGGACGCATACCTGATTTGTTTCCGATTTCGGCAGATTTGGCATTTCATACCCATGCTGGAAATATAAATACACCTTATTAAAGTTAAGTATAGGAATTCCAAACATCTCAGTTAAGTATTTTTGTTTTGATCAGGGAAGCCATCAAGATGCACATACTTGCTTGATCTGTGTTTCATTCGTTATTCTCGGGATGGATAACTTGTTTTTGAATAATCACGGCAAGCAATAGTTCTTTGTCTCAAACAACGATATTGTTTACCTTCATTTGATTATCAAGTCAAACACAGTGTAGTATGGAGAGGAATAAATAATCGCTTTTATTATTGTTGATATGCTCAATAACCTAACATATTCCACGTCTTGTTCCTATAGCTGGCATTGGCGGTTGTGATTGTATTTATGTTGAAACTACAATTCGAACTTCCTTGAAAATTGAATAAACCTGCTGTTAATGCAGGTAGAATATTCTCACTACACGGATTTTGCATTGATTTTGATATGTTGCATTGCATACATATGACACGGCATTGGTAGTTACTTCACATATTTATTTGAGTTAATTGTCACGGTTGCAGAAAAAATAGTATGTTTCATTCGGATCAAAAGTGACTTTGTTCGACTCGCAAATTTTGCTTTCGCTCGGCTTCGCCGAACGCTCCGCCTCGCAAATGCAAAATTCGCATGTCAAGTGTCACTTTTGATGCTAATAAAACAATCTACTATTATTCTTGTTGACGTCTAGTACATAAGTAACTGAAGTTCAACTTTAGCTCCTAGGAACTAAATATGTTGCTTAGCAACATACCTATTTTCGTAATAGAAACGTCAGTTCAAGAGCTAACTTCGGTATCAAAACGGACGACTTTTGTATCGGTTGCAGAAAAATGATAATTTTCCAAGTCACAAAACTCACGTTCGGATCCTCCCTGACGTTCTCCTCGATGGGCAGCGTCGTGGGCGGCACCGCCACCCCTCCGTTACCCGCCCCGGAAGCGTCGTTGAACGACACCCGCTTCGTCGTGTCCTTTGCCCGCATCGACATCACGGCGAAGCTGGATCCGCGCTCGGGGGGCGGCGGGATCGTCGAAGCGGGGGCAACCTCGGGCGGCGACGGCTGCCCGCCGTTGGCGTGGTTGGGCTTGAGGATCGAGGGCGGCTGGTCGAGCGGTTTGGCGGGTGGGTGGGCGGAAGTGGAGGGGGGGACGGTTGAAGAGACGGTGGGTGGTTGGGTGGGCGAGATTTGCGGGGATGAGCTGCTGTCCTGTAATAGAAATGCATGAGATGAAATTGTTTGAATAGATTTTCGACTGTATTATATTAGGATATAATAGGAAATATCGGGGAGTTCAGTCAATCGGCAATCGGGCTACAAGCCAACTACTTTATTGCTATGTCAAGCTTTCGAAAATTTTTATTTTTCTTCTTCAAGGCTGAAACATAATATGGTATATGAAACAATTTGTTACTATTCAATTCAACAAAAACGAGAACTTACTTGCAATGTGAGTTAAAAGGTATAAATTGGAATAAAAATCAGTATAAAAAATATCTGGCCATAAAAGTGATTGCAGACTTCTCAAAAGCAATTGTGGACTCGCTGAACCCGTCATCACTAATGATCATCATATGAAATTGCTTGGTGATGATTTTTTTTAAATAATAACACAATAGTCATTGTGATATCAGATACGGAAATAAAATAAATTGATGACACAAATTCGAAGAAACTAAAATTTTGCATTTAGAAAAAAAATTAACAAAAAGACTGTTTTTAGAGATGGTTGAAATTGATCATGAGAATTATACTATGAATAAGAAAACAGATTTTGAAAATCCCTATCCCGACTTCCATCCCCGTCTACCTTGTCGACATCGTCGTCCAACTCCTCCGCCGCCTCCATCGCCCTCCTTTGGAACTCCCTCTCCAGCCTCAACACCCTCAGCTGCTCCTCCTGCTGCGCCGTCCGGAACGGCATCGCTGCCAACTCGCGCAGCTGCCCCTCCTGCCGCCTCCTGGCCGCCTCTCGGCGCGCCTCCTGCTGCCGCTCGCGCTCCTCCCTCGCCCAAGGGTCGCGGGCGGGGGGCGGCTGGGCGGCCGTCGGCGAGTAGAGCGGGTGGGTGGCCGTGGGCGGTAGATCGGGCAGCAAAGGCGGGTGGTCGTCCTGGGCGAGGAAAGTAGAGTTTGTGACGTTTGTGAATACTTTGAGAAATTGTTTTATGCTTCTTCAACACATATCGCACACCCAGAACAACACTGTATTATGTCGAAAAATCTCAAAATCGACTTTGTCATATCGATGGATCGCCAAAAATTCGGCGCGTATACCACGAATACAGGCTCATTTATATCTACAAAAATGTCCAACAGATGGCGCGTTAACACTCTATTATACTAAACTATGTCCAGAATCGTTACTCACACTAAGAATCAAAAGAAATGTATTCACAATTTATATCATTCTTCATTCACAGAACCATTAATGATTGTTTTGAGATAATGCACTATTGAGGAATTGATTGCATTTGTAATTGTTATTCGACAGATAATGAGGGGTCGTGGAGTCCTTGTACTCACAAAGACATTGAAAGCAACCACAGAAGGAACAAGACTTCCTGTTCAACAAAGCAGCGTGGAAAAATATATGTCAGAAATACAACTGTTGCAGAATCAACCGTTGACACGTCAGCAGTCACAGCATCAGTTGATAAAGCTTCAGATAGGGAGGTAAACCCGTTTCTGCTTCATCTGATCATGGCGATAAAGATTTTATAGATATAGATACGGATTCCATCCATTTTATGCCTGATATACGAATAACTTGGCCTTTTGTATCCCCTAGCAGATTATTCTCTTTTTTCTCCTCGTGCTCCTTGCCACCACAGCTTATCATCATAAAGCTCCAGCAGTTCCAGTTGTTCATCTGATGATGAATACAATTCGCGGGAATCAATGTCAACAGGTGGCGCTCGGTTTTCATCGTTCCATGTCAAAGCCACGTCAAAACTGGGGGAAAACAAACTCAATCCTCACTTAATCCCATTAGTGCCATTAGCTTGTGTACTGTGTACTGATAAGAGTGATAAGTTTTTGAATTTCTTGACATTAATTGTCAATATATGATCGAAAACGCTAATAATACCTGTTGTAGATGTTCTTTTGGCAGATATTTTGATCTATTTAGCCGGAAAAAGCCGACCAGTAGTGGAAGGAGAAGCAGTTCTCCGTGCTAATCATGTGATTTTGTGTGAGGCAGAAGACTTCAACAAAAGGTACATTTTTGCACTTTATCTACAAACTTCGACGATGAAATCTTCCCCACATGAAGTGAAATTGAAGTTGGGGTCCAGAGGAACTCCTGTAGAACAATGAATTTGTATTTGTTCATGCAAAGCAGGGCAATCTGGGTATTGTAAACATGTTGTAGCTGTTCTTTTATATGTCGATTGATTTGCTCGTCATAATTTGTTTGAATTGTTTGAACAATCTCCAATTCTGCACCCGTTCACTGTTCACTGAACTAATACAAATTTAATAATGTAAAAAAATTAACCAACTCAACCATCATCACTACCAACAGTGCCAACACTTTGTCATTGACGAGTTTGACTACAGCTACAGTAAGCTGAATGCAATGTAGTCTATGCACTTCATCCATAGACAACAGTTTGTTTTCCCCCAGTTTGAAGTTTGTATTATGTAACCTAGATGTCGCCCACTTCGTGAATCTCGCGAATAGACCAAGTCCTTCTACAGCGAATACTCAAGGGTATTCCAATTCTACTCACGGTCGTCATAACTCAAACGTGGGTCACCCTGTATATTTGATTATACATTAAAAATGTGGCAAACTGAAGATAAAAATCGTCTTGTCTTGTAATAATTTTCCATAAACGCCTTGAAAAGGAGTAAATAATAGAAGGTTCTATAGCTAGTGGTGAAAAAACATATTATAAACAATCCAGAAGTCAGCTCACCTTCCTCGTCGCTTTCGGCACCACCGGGGCCACCTTATAGGCCGGCGACACGTGATTCTGTTGCTGATGCTGGTACGCCGCCCCGCCCATCTGTTGCTGAAGCTGTGCCCCGCCCACCTGTTGCTGAAGCTGCGCCCCGCCCACCTGTTGCTGAAGCTGCGCCCCGCTCACGCTCAAATTCTGCATGCTCTGTGCATTCTGCGCCATCATGTAATACTGTTGTTGTTGCTGCTGCTGTTGTTGTTGTTGGGCGTACTGACCCCTACTTTGCCTTCGGCGCACCTCTTCGGACATTTCCGCCAACTTGGCGGCCCCCCTCAAGTGCCTATCGTAATATCATTTGTGTTATTATTTAATTTTTTTTAATATACCAGAATGGTGAATGTTAGGGAATACAGAAATATAATTAAACCATGCTGGAAAAGAGCAACTTTCGAAGAAGTATCTGGTAGCCAAATTTATTTGTGTGAATTAATTGATGAGCCTGCTGAAGACAAACGTATGTAAAAACTTCACAAACGATAACACAGTAGCTTCGTCAGGTGTTAGCGAAACATGTTGTGTGTTTGAGAATTTTGTGGAAATCTTATCATTTGTGAAGTTTTTACATTTGTCATAAATCTCCATCAGGTAACGGCTGAGTCAATTCAAAAAAAGAAGACAAACTTATCAGATTTTGAAAATTGAGACAAATTTCCAGGTTAATATTAATTAGAACATAACCACTTGACAAACAATAATAAGTTCTCGGAAAAATTCAGTGAGGAAGCTGTAGATAATTATAGATGAAGTTTCAACTCGCTTCAGCCAAGGTCATCATCTGATGTTGCGATGACATAAACACTATGGGAAAACATATCGAATGGCCTATTTATGCATCATTGTCTTAGTCATTGTCTTAATCATAGTCTTAACCAAGGTGAACGGAATATTAACTCATCATATTTGGACCTTTATGCATCACAGTCTTTAGGCTCAAGGATTATGATATGACAATTGACAATAAGTCAAACGTGTCAACTGAGGTGTCAATAATGTCAACTGCCAATTCTAATATTTCGTTTTGGAGCAGGTTTTTGAGCTAATTTTGAAGATTATTTGAGTTTATTGTTTTTCTTACTAAAAATCTCTTACGAATTCTAAACAGGAGGTTGATAGAGATTTAATCATTGGAATTATATTTATTTGAATCCTGCCATTCTGGTTTGCTTGATGCAAAAGAGAAAGAGAGTCAAAAGATTCGGAGTTCGTGCCATTAACAGAAAAAGAAAAACACAAAGTTTCTTCACGACTTTAGTGGAGTCAATGGAAACTGGAGAATTAAAGGAAGGACAATTCTTCAAATACACAAGAATGACGAAAAATCAATTCACCTATATTTGATATCAAAGGTAATCAAATTATCAGAAAGATGTAACCAATTATTCGCGGGAATCAATGTCACCAGGTGGCGCTCGATTTTCATCGTTACATGTCAAAGTCACGTCAAAACTGGGGGGAAACAAACTCAATCCTCACTCAATCCCATTAGTGCCATTAGCTTGTGTACTGTGTACTCATAAGAGTGATAAGTTTTCAAATTTCTTGACATTAACTGTCGATATTCGATCGACAACGCTAATAATGCCTGTTGTAGATGTTCTTTTGGCAGATATTTTGCTCTATTTAGATGGAAACCCTTACACCCTATGGACCCTTACACCCTATGGGTAAAAAGGGATATGATTATATATATATATATAGATGGAAAAAGCCGACCAGTAGTGGAAGGAGAAGCAGTTCTCCGTGCTAATCATGTGATTTTGTGTGAGGCAGAAGACTTCAACAAAAGGCACATTTTTGCACTTTGTCTACAAACTTCGGCGATGAAATCTTCCCCACATGAAGTAAAATTGAAGTTGGGGTCCAGAGGAACTTCTGTAGAACAATGGATTCGTATTTGTTCATGCAAAGCAGGACAATTTAGGTATTGTAAACATGTAGCTGTTCTTTTATTATGTCAATTGATTTGCTCGTCATAATTAGTTTGAATTGTTTGAACTATCTCCAATTCTTCACCCGTTCACTGTTCACTGAGCTCATAAAAATGTAATAATGTAAAAAAATTAACCAACTCAACCATCCTCGCTACCAACAGTGCCAACACTTTATGTCATTGACAAGTTTGACTACAGCTACAGCAAGCTGAATGCAATGTAGTCTATGCACTTCATCCATTAGATTTTTTTTGGAATGGGGCCTTCGGGCTATCTGCCTCCACACTGCGACCTTTTCAGATCTATTGTGCCTGCCCTCGAAATGGATTAGAGTTCTTCGGCTAGCCCCGCCTTCTCTATGAGACTCCGTTGGCTAGCTTTCAGATCTCCTGTGTATCTCTGGGCTCCTGGTTTTTCCTCACCCAGCGTAAGGAACCTTAGTCTTGACAAGCCCTCACAGTGGCAAAGTATGTGTACTGCTGTTTCTTCCTCTTCTTGACAGAACCTGCACAGCAGTTCTTCAGTCAGACCTATCGTACTCATGTGTTTGTTGAGCCTACAATGCCCTGTGAGAAGTCCCACTAGTATTCTAGTTGAACTTCGTTTCTGGCTTAGTAGATATTCTGTGAATGTTGGCGATGGTTTTTTAATAAACTCTTTTGCCTGTCTCATTCCTGGCGAGTTGTTCCACCATTATTGAGATTTAGTTTGCATCCATGATTTGATACTAGTCTTTTGTATAGCTTTCGCAATACCACAGAAGGGTTCTGGGCCATTAAGAGTTTTGTTTGCTCCTGCCCGGGCAAGTGAGTCTGCCTCTTCATTGCCCTCGTACGCTGTATGTGCTGGTACCCATGCTAGAGTCAATCTGTTCTGACTGCCCAGTGCATTTAGGGTTTCTAAGCAGTCCCATACTAGTTTTGAGTTAACTTGCATAGAGTTGACTGCTTTGATTGCCGCCTGGCTATCTGAATAGATTGCAATGGTTTTGCCTTTAAACTCTTGCCTTATCAATTCTTTCACGCAATGATGTATTGCAATAATTTCTGCCTGAAACACCGTCGCGTATTTGCCTAAGCTCAGTGAGATTCTTGTCTTTGGCTTGGCCCCATAAATACCAGCTCCTGATCCTTCCTCAGTTTTGGAGCCGTCCGTATAGACAGCAATGTCTGCATTGATAGGAGGTCCTTCCTTCCATGCCTCTCTGTCCGTTATACTTATTTTAAAAGTTTTTTCAAAGCTATATTTTGGAATTATGACATCCGTTGGCATCCCCATGCTTTCCAACTCTTCATATAGCTTCCTATAGTCTTTACCGTGCGCGTTGCTTATGGGTGCTTGACCCCTTGACAATCTACTCACGACTGCTCTGGCTTCGCCTTGAATATATATTTGTAGTGGTGGTAGGTTCAAGAGGACCTCTAAAGCGGCTGTTGGAGTGGTTTTCATTGCACCAGTGGCACTCAGGCACGCTTGCCTTCAAATAGCACTGAGCCTTCAAATCACTCCAGCCTGTTGTGTCTTTGGCCACCAAACTACTGACCCATATGCTATCATAGGCCTGATGACGCTGGCATAGAGCCATGTGGTCATTTTTGGTTGCAGTCCCCAATCCATAGACAACAGTTTGTTTTCCCCCAGTTTGAAGTTCGTATTATGTAACCTAGATGTCGCCCGCTTCGTGAATCTCGCGAATTGAGCTCAATTAATGGATTACATTTTTTATCTATCTATCTATCATATACCACCTCCTCGATTAACCTACAGACAGTATATTATAGGTACCTGTCTTGGGCGAATTGGTGTTCACGAGGCGGTTGCTGCTGTTGCTGTGGTTGGGGCGGCTCGATCCTGATGTTGCCGCTGCTCGCGTACCTCGTCATGTCGCCGGGCGGGTATTGGGCGTGGTGTTTGAGGGCGTCCTCGCTCTTCGACGTGCGCATATCATTGTGGCGCGACAAGTCGAAGGGCGGGTTGTTCGAGAGGGCGTTGTGCTGGATCTGGGCGTCGGAGATGCGAATGTTGCCTTGGCTGGGGTATCTGGGAAACGAAAACGATTGAAAGGACCCTGCACATTCAGTACGTAAAATGGCTTTCGGCTAATTTTTCTAAAAATTTGATATGTTTCAGGTATTAGCGTCCTTATTACACAGTCCAATTTACAGATCGATCCTATGACCAGATTTTGGCTGTTTAGAATATTTTGCATCGATTTGAATTATGTGCTCGAGGTCGTGATAAATCTTCAGTAAAGATAAACGCTCCACGTCTAATTTCTACATCATGAATCCCTCTATTTAAGTAGATAATAATATCACATACAGGGTATTGCATTCCATCATGACAAGGTAATATTCATGGGAATAAACAAATATTGAAAATATCAGAATTTCGATTTTTACTCAATCACTGAAAACTTGAAAACAAACGGCTAGAATCGGCCAATTATTTGACACACTATGGGTCTGGATCCACAACATGAGGATTCATACGATTTCCTCTGATATAATGTCCGGTTTGCCATATATAGGGTGATGACAATTTGAAAGCTTAGAATTGATGTAACTCATGTATATAAAATGAGATACATATAAATCATGGAAATCATCCATATCTCAAAGTGGTCCAAAGTAGTTTCAAAAGAAAAACAATGAAAATCTCAAAGTCTGTCGACCACACTTCAACGGGCTATTGGAGTCAGGCACACGTGGTTCTTTTTAAATTTGGTAAAGAGCCAGAAAAAACTGGCTCTGATAAGTTTGACCATCTTATCTTGAAGGATTTTTTATTATAAACATAATAAAATTAAGGAAGCCATATCAGTCATCACTGAGCGATGGAACACGGAAATGAAAAAATTTCAGACTAATTGAAAAATGAACAAGACTTTGACACTTGAACACAAAGCAATAAGAATTGAATGACAGAACAAAAATGACACAATAGAACAGTGGTAGCACCAGGAAATAAACGAAATAGTTGTTGAGAAGAAAGAACAAAGTACGAAAAGAAAAAAAGAAGAAGATGAGAACGGAAAAAGAAGAAGAAAAAGAAGAATGGATTTGGCTGTATGTCATATGACAAGAGGCCAGGAAGTTAAGAAGAAGAAGAAGAAGAAACCAGAAGAAGCAAAAGAATTCGCGAAAATCACGAACCAATAGATGGCTCTATTAAACGTCAAATCAACGTCAAATTTCAAACTGAGTATGAACAACAAAAACATTGCCGTATGCACTCATTGCAAATTGGTTATTTCGAAATCATTTTGCAAAATAGTGAATAATGAGTTGACTTCGTGAAATACGTACAAGGTTTCCAGTATGGAAAAAATTATTTTTTGTGCAGAGAAATTGCCATTTTGATGTGGACAATGGTGGTATTCATCATTGATATCACATTACAATTCCACAGTTTTCGAACATATGGAATGGTCGGAATGGTCTACTCAACACTTGCATGGACTGGAATGGTACCATATAAGCAATCAGCTACTACAACAATTTGGTATAGGTATGAAGAAATAATTGAATTCACCAAGAAATATCACTGGCTTTTATGAAGGAGATGGAATTTTAGTGAAGGGGCTGGGAAAAGAAGATATGGTTGGAGAGGCTGCTCAGAATGAACAATATCATTGATTTACATAAACAAGGATCTCCAGCAATTGAAGACTTGAAGTTAATCTCAAGATCGAATCATTGCAACCAACATTTATACAAGGATTCTAACTGTGCTTCAGAAAATGTATATTATATTATTATAAGGTAGGTACTGGCTTCTTCATTGTAAACAATAAAAGTTCATGCAATAATTCGAGTTTTTTCATCAAGGAAAAATGAGGTTCTGGAATATGCACTTCAACAAATAAATTATTTCCAAGAAAAAACACAGAAACTCAAAACAATGGTCGCCATATTTGTTGTTCATACTCGCAAGACTTGTAAAGTTAGCCACCAGAGGCCGCACACTTCGTGATTTTCGCGAATAAGAGAGGAGGAATTGTCAATAATACAGAACACAGTGGCGAAGAATCGACTGAAAAAAGTTGGGACGAGACCAATAAAACAAGACAATTGTAAAGTTCTGAAAATGTGATTCCGTTCAAAATTAGTTTGATCATTGAGACATGAAACGTTATGGTTGTTGATGCATTTCTGAATCTCCATGATTTCAAGGAGGTTTAACCTAGGACCTTTATCGCAAATGTGAAGAATATTTGAATTTTTATTGACGTCAGAAGAGTGATTGAAATCTATGAATATTCAAACATAACAATTTGTATTGAAGCATGAAACATGGGTAGCAATGACAAATATGAATAAACAAGAATGGATATAAAGACCTAATAACAACTTAAATTATAACGACCATCACGACGAGCTCCCCTTGGTCAGTTGTTATAATTCAATGTCGACGGATGATTTGATTAACTTTATGTTTATAAAACCCTCATGGTTCGAAATTTCTAATAAACCGTATGTTCTACTCGTGACAAAACACTATGTATTTCAAGATTCCAAGATTCCTACCTACGAACAAACACTGACCTCATGATCTCGTCGTGCCGCGAAGCCTGCGACTGCCTGAACACGTCCTCCCTGAGCAACCCGCCGCCATTACCGAACCGCGACTCTTGCTGCGGCCGCTCCTCTGGCAGCCTCTGCCCGCCGGCGTTCACTTGCAACGGCATCTGCCCGCCGGCGTTCACTTGCAACGGCATCTGCCCGCCGTTCGCGTAACCCTGAGCACCGTACGTCTGATTGGCCGAGCCGTACGCCATCTTGACCTCCTCGGGACTGGGGAAGCCGGTCTTGGCGTAGCCCTGAGCGGGGTAGTAGTTTAGCACGTTCGGGTAGGAGCCCGAACGGCCGTTGGAGTGTTCGTGATCGTTGGGCAGCCGATGTGTCGATGGGGGGCTTTTCAGATTGGGGATGGACTGGTGGAGGTTGTTGTTGGGGGGGCGCTGGTTGGCGGACGCTGGTGGGGGGTAGTAGGCGGAGGAGGGGCGTTGGGAATTGGCGACGGAGGAGTGGAGGGAGTTTTGGGAGCTGCGCAATGCGGAGGTCCTGCGGAACGAACGGTTCGTTAGTGATTGGAGAGATTCGGTATACTGGTCAAATTTACACCATTGGAATACTCATTATCTGTGTCAAACTTAGTTATTTGGGAAAAATATTTATGGAACAATGATGCCTTATCATAGAAATCATATTATATACACCGTGTTCCAGCTAAAATGTCCCCCCCTGTAAAAAATCAACCGCGCGATCGAATGACTTGTAATTCGGTCACCCAGTATATTTGATGATGCTCACTCGAAATATGCTATTGAATAAATCGTAGGTATCCGTCTCCGAGAAAGAACTGCAAGTCCTTTTATCTTCCATTCGACTCCCATTCGTAAGTTTGGGTCCCTTGATGTAAATTGACGTATTTGTCATCTTACCAGGGTACGGACAGATCCTCGTCTCCTCCCACTCTAAAGTGTTTGTGAAACAGTTATACAGGGTGTTCTTTAAGTACGTGGCCAAACTTGAAGGGGTGATTCTTTGAGTGATTCTAAGACGAAAAGTTCATGTAAACATAGGTCCGGTAATGCTTCGTTTTCAAGATACAGGATGTCAAAATTTTTAAAAGAAATCGTTTTTTTCGTAAATATCTTAATAACCCTTCAACCAGTTTTATTGAAATTTGGCAGTGTTATTCCGGCGTTTCCACTATGCACGCACTGGCCAAATGAAACAAACAATTTTCAAGCATAACAGATTCACCTGTAATCATTAAAAACTCTATAAAAACAATTTTTTATTGTGTTGTGCCAGGGACGTGCCATGAAGTGATTTTTATGTTTTTTCTCAAAAACAAAGCAAGATACGAAAAAAATTCTAGATATAAAAAAGTTGTAATTTTAGTTGCTCAATGTGAAACAAATACAAAAATTGCAAAAAAATCAGTGACGCACATTTTTTCTGTCAAAAATATTGGTTACAGTGCCTTCCGGGACGCCACTGGACATGATAATTCTGATATAGTTAGAGTTAAATTAGCCCTTTACGACCTTGAATAACACTGCCAAATTTCAATAAAATTGGTTGAAGGGTTATTAAGATATTTACGAAAAAAACGATTTCTTTTAAAAATTTTGACACCCTGTATCTTGAAAACGAAGCATTACCGGACCTATGTTTATATCACTCAAAGAATCACCCCTTCAAGTTTGCCCACGTACTTAAATAACACCCTGTATAGTTCCATATTTATTCATTTCTGAGGATAAACACTAGATTTCTGACATTTGTTTTTTAGGTTATATTGAGGACATTGGCGTATCATACGTAATTTCCACATGTAATTTCTCATTCAACTCTACATAGTTTTTGATTTTTCAGCTCCAGCATAATCTTTGTGAGGCAGGGAGCAAATTTTTCTGAAAGTTCAATACGTTTTACCAAATGGGACTATTCTTAGGCAGTACCTATCAATAAATTAATTTTGATTTCAGACTAAGCCTTATGGTTGAGAAATGGTGAAAAAGTGTATGTAGGTATTTGAACTAATGTGCTCATATGTCATGTGTACTGTAAAAATTCATGTTGGGAATCAGTTTTGCAGTTTTTCACGAACACCTAATATTTTCTGAATGTAGGTATAATTTTTTGAATGGTAGGGCATATGCCTCTTCTTTCAATCCTCCGTTTTAATCAAAACTGTTTCTACTGAAATGCATTCGAAAACTTGTGGAGTGGATAATTATAAGCACAATGAGAAAGTATAATATGTGATTTCGTATTAGATTCACCTCGAATATTTTGCTGATGTATTTACCAATTTTCCCCATTCGGTCACTTCACTTTCCATGTTCTAAGTTCATTTGCATTTGATGGAAAACTGACAAATTCAAATTTGCCATCCAACTGATTGATACAGCCTAACGCAGCACATTTTACCATCCTTCCAAAACAGAATTGAATAATGTCGTTTTAAGATCAAGTATGAAATTAAAATTTTGTAAGATCTCTTTTAACGCCTATGAATGTGACGTGACAGCAATGTCATGTCAGGGACGCCAATACACGAAACCAAAGTCACTAGATGATTATATGACAAAGGAGCTATAATCTGTCCATAACCTGTCAGATGACAAATACGTCAGTTTGCATCAAGGGACCCTAACGTAAATCATTAAACAACCACTAAATTCGCAATTTTTTTAAATCAAATCACTGAATTTGAATGACAGATATTTGACTACTTTGGGAGAATGATAAAGATGCCTGCAACCCAGATGTCTTTCCTGTTAAAAACTTCGAATTTCACGTCGATAATTTTCTGATTTTAATATAGTATTGAAAAGATACTATCTCAGTATTTATTCGTCCTTTTTCCCGTCATAGAAAAAAATAGTGTATTATAAACGGGAAGAATATTAGATTTCAGCTCAAGGTCGGAAGACAACCCAACTTGGAGCTGAAATCTATGACTTTTTTCCCTTTTATAATATATTCGGCCGGAAAAAAGTTTCGACATTTTATCTCTGTCAGCAGGTAACAAAATGTTTCAAGGAACTACATCTTCGATCATATATCGTTCTTACCCGGTAGAGATTTTTCACACTACGTGGCACTCGATATATTGAATATTTTATTGACTATTCCACTCTTGATCTCGAGAACCAATCAGAATCGACCATTTTCACGGTTTCTTCTGTATTCTAGCGATATTTTTTGTTCATTAAATTTTATCGGACTTGCTCTACCAATACAGAAGCCGAATTGACCCACACGTGACCAACAAACCTCGTTTATCAGCGATAAAATTTTGACATCGTGTCTGGTCAAGATTGCTTTGTATTCAAATCCTAACCTAAGTACCTTCTTCATTTTATTTACTTATAATTCGCGTTAGTGAGACATTTTGTACGAAAGGCGAGACAATTTCATTCTGGCTGGACGTTTCATGTGTGATTTAACAAGTTTGCATATTTGTTGACGGTCTGACAACAATACTAGAATTCAAATTCCCATTTGAAGTAATCTTCTTCAGTCACTAAAATTATTGTGACCAATAAAATCCAGGTGATGTGGCTCAACTGATAGGGTTGTTGCGCGGAGATACGAAGGTCGGTGGTTCAAGCCCGTCGGCGACAATAATTTTTTTTTTAATTATTTCATGTCACATAAATTCAATTTATTTTGTTCGAATTGGATAGCAAATGTATACACTCTTTTGAGAGCAACCATCTCCAAGATAATAAACAAAATACTGTTCATCAAAATTGTACATTCCACTTTTTGAATTACTAAAAGTAGGTAGTTAATTTCTAAAAAATTGAATTCTGTATTTCATTACCATTATCATTATGTTCTTCTTCGCAGTTTGAGTTGGAATATACTTAAATTATGTTTCCTATTTCTTATATATATTGTCTCATTCAATCATGAAATAGTCATACGAATACAACTCGTGATACTATTTTTCCTGGAAATATTCGTCGATTGGCATACTCCAGCTTGCTGCTCTAATTTCGGCAACAAGCTGTCGTAACAATCACCGAATATTTCCGGCAAAATATTATCACTTGTGGTATTATATATGAAAAATTTCAATTTTTCTCACCTATCACCAAGATGCTGCGGACTGGGAACCTTGTTCCTATACACGCTCAAATTCTGATAGAACCCGCCGTCCTGCTGGTGCAAGTTGTGCGTCGACCTGCTCCTCAACCCCGCATTAACCGTCTGATACGCGCCACCGGCCCCATTCGGCAGCGCAGGCGCATTTCCGTTGTTGTTGATGCTGTTGCTGGACGACGTGCGACTGGCGTAAGGGTGGGGGGCGGGGTCTGCGCCCGAAGGGGCGTGGAAGTTGTGGGGGGCGGGGTCGACGACCGAAGGGGCGTGGAAGTTGTGGGGGGCGTGGTCGGCGGCTGAGAGGGCGTGGATCTGGTGGAGGGCGGGCACCGACTTGGAGGAGGGGATGGTGCGCTCCTGGTCGACCTTAGAGGGCAGGTCGCGTTCCGACATCCGTCTCGGGCCTGTGGGAGGGGTGAGGGTGAGTTAGAGTAGTGGAGGGTTGGAGATTGAACGGCTATGTACCGGGTGACTATAATCACCCACCATAACTCTCCTTTTTGTAATAGAAGAGAATCGAATTTTGAAAAAATCCTCAAATATACAGAGAAGTGCACAAAAAACGACCAGGGTCGTACCTTTTGAATTATTCTAGATAGGGTTTCGAAAATTGGAAACGACCCCAACTCTTGATATTTAAATGGGACACCCTGTATTGTATTCCATAATCGTTTAGGGATTATCATGACAAATTCAACGATATCGGGTTTGATAGGGTTATTTCAAACGATTACGAAGATATTTGCGTTCGAAGTTTCCATATGCTCAATGGGTGTGACTTGGCAATATCAAAACTTCTTTCTCTGTCGCACTCATTGACCATATGGAAACTTATGACTCGAATATCTGCGTACACGTTTGAAATAACCCTATCAAACCCGGTATCGATGAATTTTCGTTATGACAATTCCTAACCGATTATGGAATACAATACAGAATGTCCCATTCAAAAATCAAAAGTTGGGGTCGTTTCCAGTGAAACCGGAAGTGATAGAACATAAATTGTTTCGTCAATTAATGTGCAATTTCGAATACTAGCTGCCCACCAATTTTCAAAACCCTAATTCGAATAATTCAAAAGTTACAGTCCTGGCCGTTTTTTGTGCACTTCTCTGTATACAGAAAGTAGGAGAAATGAAAATGTTTATAAAAGGCTGTTTTTTTTTTGTACACAGTCAAAATTTTCACAGTCAAAATCAAAGGAGTTATAGGGGGGTGGTATTTTATAACGTGTCACCTGATACAGGGTGTTTCACTTCTCAAGTGGCGATAATACTAATAATAATTTTTCCTTGATGATATGCGAATATTTAAGGTAAAATTATTGATATTTTGTTATATAAAGTGTGGTTCAAACATGTTCCGTAACGAATATGCGGGAGAAATTGAAATAAACGAGTATATTTCAATGACAGAGAAATGTTAAATGTACCTACTATTCAGGGTTTAGTCGGAATAATCTACAGACACCTAAAACAAGCACTCTCAGTATAGCCACATTTACGCATTAGAGAGAGAAAAAACATATGTAGAAAAGCAAAGTGATACTTACTTTGTAATATTCGAAGACATGAAAGTGCACTGTCTACTAAGTGACTGTTGACAAACTATCAAGTTAATTGTTATATACGGAAATCTTCAAAATCGAATGATTCGACGTAGAGGATTTATCGTTATCAAAATCAGTTTATTAATTTTTTCGAATTAATTATTCAGTAAATTTCAAGTGCTCTCTTCCACGTTATAACAGATTATTTTCAATGAGCTCAGTACGAACGGAATCGAAATATCTATCGAAATTTTTACAGGGTATCCCATTTGAATTAAAAAAAAACGATCAGATCCAATTTGCTTCATTGCGCTTGTCTGCAGTTTCAGAAATGTTGTCCTTCTCGTTTGAAAGATATTCACTGGGTCCCATACTTTATCTCCCCTCTATGATCCAGGCCAACTAGCCTTATTTCAAAATGGTGTTGTTCAATACTTAATTCAATTTTCTTTAACATAACAAAGGTTCTGAGTCATTTGTCTCAGAAACGGCAGGCACAAGAAAAAACGCAAGAGTACCCTTCATTTAAATTGAACTGGGAATTCAATAATGATTTTTAATAAAAATCATGCAGCTTCTTCCTCTATTTTCGAATATTTTAGAACCATAGCTTTAAAAGGAAAGCATCAATAATTTTCGACATATTTCGCATATTTTAAAAGAACACCCTGAATAGTACTCCGGAAGCTCTATACATAAGGATTCGTCTTTTCCATAACTTACTACAATGACAAGGGAGACCTTGAAAAATATATTACGTGTTTTATCACAAAAACTTCTATCAATCTCGAATACGCAAGTTTCAATACCCAAACTTACACAGAGTGTTTGCAAAAAATTGAAAAATCCTATGATTGAGAGTGCTACCGAGTGTCGCAGATGATCAGATTACCAATTAATCAAGAGTCACCTAGTATTTCACATCTCATAATAACATCCGCATTGATTTTAATTTTTTTTTGGGCTCATGCTAAGAACACTCTGTATTATACTGTCTGTAGGTGAATCAAGAAGATGGAATATTTATTTCACTGATTATTTGATATTGACCGTTTTCAACTGTTATACAACATGGAAAGATGTGTTGAAAAGGAATATTCTCAGATAAATTATGGACATACAAAAATGGATATATATTTATATGAAGCAATACATTGAGAATTCGCATTCTCTATGTGATGAGAATATCTACTCTTTTTCAGTTTATTCAATAGAAAACAACTACTTTCCTGGCTATATGCCACGACGAACATTGAATTATATCTATTGAACACACACGATAAGAGTTTGAAAATAAAATATAAAAAATTCTGAGATGGAAAGATGTTTCGAACATTCCGCTGATACACCAATAAAAAAATTTTATAATGTACCTATCAGGAGTACCTGGCAGAAGTATATACTCATAGATTAAATTAATCTATGATATACCATATATATGATAACTTAGCTATAGGTGTAATACAAATATTTTCGTTTAGAGACGAGTAGAAAAAATACCAAGAATTTAGAGAAACTTGGTATGAGTTATTGAAACTTGGATCTGTGGCAACCAGATGTGCCTAACTCGAAACATTTATATATTTGTAAACTAATGACTAATAGGCTTGTCATTTATGAGGTCTAACTTGTTATGGTAGTGAACAATGGGAAAAGGCGAATCTTAAAATAATGCATACCATGATGTAGAGCTTTTGAAGCATGTTTTAAAAAACCGAAATGTAATCATCTTGATATAATGCATTGTCGCTACTTGAAGTGAACACACTGTAAAAGAGAGACCTAGACAAATTGTACCATATTATCTAACAGAAAAATATGATTATTTTTGACTTGTCCATTACTGCTTTATAATACCTTGGCAACGGTTGCTATCAACAGGATTATTCTGAAAAGTTGGTGCCTTGAATAATCAGTTGTGTTCTATCGACCTAAAATATTCTCAGCGTTGCTGCTTATATTGAAAAGTAGCAACAACTTTGACTTTTTCAATGGAACACCCTGTATATCATTCCATTTTCAGATTCTCTCTGAATGGCTGATTCCATCGATCTATCACACTTGGGGTCTAGCGGGAATGATAACAAAGATATAGGGTGAGAAAAATTGAAATTTTCAAACTTGAATTTTTTGTGTCGAAACTATTCATAATTGATCAAAACTGTTTTCATGTCCTCTCAACTTTTCATGTACTATCAATTGATATTTAATTGAAATAGATACAGGGTGGTTCAGAATTGAGATTTTGATAACCCTGTATCTATTTAGGTCAAGATAGGGTCAGAAAACCGTGTGTTATAGGTCAATGAAATCAACTCTTCAGGGAGAATCTGAAAATGGAATATACAGGGTGTTCCATTGAAAAAAATCAAAGTTGTTGCTACTTTTCGATATAAGCGGCAACGTCACAACGCTGAGAATATTTTAGGTCGATAGAACACAACTGATCATCCAAGGCACCAACTTTTCAGAATAATCCTGAGTTGCGTCCTCCAGAAACGTCTAATGTGCCATCCACCGTGAATCACCCGGTATAAATATGTTGCTGGTACTGAGAAATCGATCCGCCTCTCATAATTCGTGGTACAGTTTGTTTTGGCCTAACCTAGAGTCACTGGATGGTATTAGTAGATAACTAATACTATCCAGTGACTAGCCTAACCTAAATAAAATGAAAAAAACTTGCTATTTGCATAGATTTTTTTGCATCTAGGTGTCCCCATAACGTATGAAAGGAAAGACTAAATAACAATAAACATAAAAGCATAAATACTGTGGGAAATATACTAGGAAGTGAATGATAAACACGACGGTACTCAAATGAATCAGAGTTGATCTCGCTATTGGTTGTCTTCCGAGAGAGTCACTAGCCATCCTTCAATAGTTATTCTCTTTTACTTTCACGAATGTTTCCAGTTCACTGCCTAGTACTATGCGATGTAAATAACAAAAAAGAAATAATAATTTGAGTAAAAAACTTTTTGCGGTGCGCAACAGATAATCGTACTCTTACGATTAACATAGGCGCCAAGTCGTAAAGCACCTAACCTAGCAGCGCTAACTAGCCCATCTTCCCGATCGATACTAGCGCAGCTCTGCGTCTTTCTAGCGACCTCAACACCATCGGAACACGTCTTGAGAACAGGACAAGTCTTTTTGGCATTGCGACAACATTTTCGCACAATCGCCCTGCGCGTTTTGATGTCAGAACAGCTCTTCCACCTCTCCCTCACAATTGATCTTCTTGGCAACCTGATGTTCTCATCGTTGTTGTTGTTGTTGTTCCTTTCCGACTTTCTTGCACTGTTGCGTCTAGTAACGATGTAAGAGTCGGGGAATTTCTTGTGTTTTTGCTTCAAATCGTTCAGTCTCTCTAAGCTGTCGCATCTCACTAGTTCGCTGTTGAACGGTTTGGTGTCGATGATTTCGCTGTGCCTTCTTCGATACTTTGGCTTATTTTGTAGATTAGTTATGTTATTGAGGCATTCGACTTCGTCTTTGGGTTCTTTACATTGTTTCAGTATACTTTTCGGTTTGGCTTTGGGCAAAGCGTCTTGCTCTTTGGTCCCGACGTTGAAAATACAGTTCCTGTATTCGCAGTTGTGGAAAAATTGGTCCAGGCTAGTCTTCTTCGTTAAAGCGTTGTCGGAAAAGAACTTGGTTATGACTATCGGGTTTTCATTTTGAGCTTTAGGCGATAGATCAGGTTCCGAGCTGAACTTGACCTTGTCTCTAACAACAGCGCTGGAGAGCTTCATATTAAACTCGCTCTTAGATTCCGAGCCATCCAAGCTCCAATCTTGCAACAACTTGAAAATCTCCAGCCTCTCAAACTCCGTCAGCTTGTCGTTTTCGTTCAGTCTCTCCTCGCTCACGCTTTTACTTCTACTGGTAACGTACATTCTCTTGTTCAGAACGGGAACGCTGGTGGCTTTGTCTTCGAACTTTTTGGCTAAGTCTTTGACGTTCCCGTGACGGATTTCGTAAGGTGATCTCCAGTTTTTGTGTCGGACAGGAGTATCCGGGTCGATTTGGCTCAGATCCAAGTTGGACTCGTGAACGCCACTGTTAATACTAGACGTGGAGCTGGACAAGTCTTGCAAGGAAGCGGACATGGCTTTTTGTTGCCTGTATCTCCTGGCTCCGATGCTAAGAAACTTGTCCAGATCGCAGATCTCCTCTATCCTATAATCGCTGTTGTTCACTTCGATCGAGTAGCTCTTCTGTTGAGCGAAGTTGTCTTTCAGCGACTTAGCGGTGGGTTTCGCGCAGAAATCCTCAATTTTACCATGTTGCATGCTGGTGCCTGTCTCGTCATAGGTTAGAGTGACGTTTTTGGGGGAGGGGTCTGAGAAATCGGTGACTTGCAAGTTGAATACCGGCTCGTCGGATTCGATTTCGATTCTCGGTATGGTGAATTTGCGCTTTTCTGACTTGAACAGGCTGTCGTCGGAGTTGAAGAATATGTTGTTTTTGGTTTTGGCGGCAGGCGGGGTGAATATTCGATAGTTTTTAGGGGTGTACAAGGATTCGGTGGATTCGTGCGTTGTATCGTAGCCGCTATAATAGTACTTATCCATGGCTGCATGCACAGAAAAGAGAAATGTGTTTCTTAAAATGTGCGGACCAGTAACTTCAGGGATATTCGAAAAACTTCATCAATACGAAGTTATAATTCATGAACAAAACAAGATATTGAGATGCAACAACATTTCATAGATTGCTTGGCTCTACAGAAGATCAATAGCAAGTTTATTCAATTTGCTGATGGTATTTTGAGCAATTATGATTGAATCTGCTGGTTTCGCTGCTGCTCATTCAAGTTCTTGTTTAAACGATCCTAAATCAGTAGAAATAAGAAAGGAAGGCCATATGATTGTGAGATTGAGGCATCAGAATATGATGTTGATTTTGTAGAATATACGTAATATTAATGGGAATTGTTAACTGAATATTGTAGTAGGAAGTAAGTCAAGCCACATCTTTATCAGCTCAATCCATTTAGATTTTCAATTGGCCAATCATCTTGAATCACTGACCTAGTGGACACAGCTTCTGAATTGGAGAATAAAACCTTCAAATGTACCAATCACTTTCTAATTTTTAATTTCCATCTAGTACTTGTTCAAGTAGAATGAAGGTGAAATGGAATGATATATCAAACCAATTTTTTCAAAGCAACGTGTCAATATCTTGTTTCTTCAATGAGATGTAAGTGCTGAAATGGGACAATTCACGAGCCATAGGTTTAACCTTATACTGTTCAAAGCAAAGAAGCACCACTATGCTGTTTATCAAGTTTCATCAATATACAAATAGCGATACATTGAGGAATTCAAAATGTTATACTTTCCATGTCTATTCAAGTGAATATGGCGACATCGGCAAATATTTCCTGTCCAGAATAGTTACAAGTTAAACAAAATTGTACTGTCTATGGGTGGATATAGAAAATGGAACATTCATTTGTCTTTATTCTTGGGATTTTATCTTCTAATTCCAATAACTAGATATATGACTATTATGTCAATGTACTTGTAAGGTCAAATCAGATAATTTGCCTCAAAATGTAACAGACCTATATTCCATATCTTCTTCAACCGTTCATCATAAAAGATGCCACTACCCATCGATAGAATATTTCTCATGGGTTTCTAATAGTGACACTGTTTTATTATTACTACAAATATAATGAAATAATAATGATTTTTTCACTTAGAGGAGCGAAAATCCCAAGAATTTAAAGACATAATGAAATTGTATAGTAAAGCATTATCCAATTTGAGTTTCTTATTACGGCATCACTCTGAATCAAGCAGCTGTCAATGAATATGTATTTTCAATGTCTTGAATTTGAGTTCACAGCAATACACTTACAACCACCAAAGACCGCTTACTACGAATTGTGAATCCTTGTGAATCCCAATAGGCCTTTTCGGAAACCTACTCGGGTTGATTCGATCACACTCGATCCTCAACCTACACGTTCGTTTACCTAACTCGAGTTGCACACCCGTGTTCGTAAACTTCGGTGTTGCCAAATCGATCACTAACTCAGGTTTTCTATAGTAATCCTACTCGAGAGCAGGGTCATCAAATGAGGCATTTTCGATATGATTTTTGTTTTGCTTATTTCATTTTGTTTTCATTTTGGGTGTTTTTCGAGCTATATGAATGCCATGAATAGAAGGACAATTGCAATCTTCCAAGCAAAAACAATTCACCTTCGACAATTGTTTTGATGATGGTGAACGATGAGATGGAGGAGGAGATATTACAATTGATGTCATCTTCTGGTGGAGTTTGCAATCAATGTTTATAGATCCAAGTGATCCAACTCTGAGTAACCCAGGAAGAGATTTAGACTCATGGCACGCCAAGGTTCGTAACCTAATACGTCGGCGAACTATATTATCTGGGTAAGTGATGTAAGTCAGATTTGAGTGATACGTCACGTGATCTATTTGGTTCAGGTTAGTGACCTGGCGTAAGTTTCCAAAAATGCCTAATGAGGGTTGACATATTTTATTTTCCACCAGATCGCGCTACTGAGACGTTAGGTCAGGGTTGATAGAACTGAGGTATTTTTTTTTCGAGTCATTTGACCTCTTCCTATGATATCTTCTTCTCTGCAAAGTGAGAATTGTACGTGTAGTTCCAACCACAACTTGAATCTATCATTTGTTTACGATATTTCCGATAAAACAGACTGGAAAGGCCCACAAAATTTTGAGATTTTTGACTTTGACACTGACCTAAAGCTTCATGAACGCGAACTGGTGAGACTGAAAACTATATAAGGTGCGTTTTTTTTTGTTTCCCATTGGTGGCAGTAGAATTGCCGACCGATAAAACGATCTGATCCATTTTGAGAGTTGTGATATTGAGCTGATATTTTATTGGTTATATGATAATAGCATAATTCTGGGATCTTGCTGTTCATCCGTACATAATTATAATTTATGTAGGTTCAGCGGTTAGAAGGCAAAATACATTGATATTTATCTTAATACTCTATAATTAATACTTGAAAGGATTTTATATACTTCTATGAGTCTCAGTCTTCTGATGTTACCTACAGGAATAATTGACTGAATTTATGTTTATACTTTCAGATTTTCTAGCAATATCATACCAAAAATTCAAAATTATAATGAAGAAGTGATACCGTAAATGGATTTATCAACATTCAAAAGTCATTTCAGGAACCCAGAACTGTTTGGAAGTATTCTGGGTAGATTTGCGAACAATTCCATAATATTTCCTAAGGCGAGTTCACTTTTAGGCGATGTTTGGGTCACATTTTGAGGTTAGAATATCTGAAATACCGCCTTTTCCGCCATTTCATACACTCCCTCCATAATCGTTTTCCTGTCATTCCATATAAAAAGACGGAATGAAAAGTTGGAACCAGTTTCAGAATTTCGTTAAATAAAACGACATGAATTGTCATTCCGGTGGAAGAATCTTGCCAATAAAACGCACCTTATTGCTCTCATTCACAGTGATAGGAAATTCAAATTGGCACTGGGACGAAATAGCGCAGGACAAAATAGCGCAGGGACATAATAGCGCAGGGTCATAATAGCGCAGGGACATAATAGCGCAGAGACAAAATAGCGCAGAGACAAAATAGCGCAGAGACGAAATAGCGCAGAGACGAAATAGCGCAGAGACAAATTTGGGCGCGAAAACGTAGTGCATCATCTATGATTACGTTAATTCGTTTGTCAGGGCATAGACTATTTCTTCAAATACTACCCTTACAAACGAAGTAAGTTAATACTAGGTATGCCGTTGGATTGTTAAAGTAGACCTATGATTAGGTTAGTTTGTTTGCTAGGGTATAGACTCATTTTGAAACACCTTGTATTTGAAGAATGAGTCTTTACTCTAACAAACGAACAAACCTAATCATAGATCCTGCACTCCATTTTCGCGCGCAATTTTGTCTCTGCGCTATTTCGTCTCTGCGCTATTATGACCCTGCGCTATTTCGTCTCTGCGCTATTTCGTCTCTGCGCTATTTCGTCTCTGCGCTATTTCGTCCCTGCGCTATTTTGTCCTGCGCTCTTTTGTCCGCGCTATTTTGTCCTGCGCTATTTCGTCCCAGTGCCATTCAAATTGGAACCTTTAAATATCATATTGACAGTACATACAGTGGGAATTTCATAATGACAGATGAGAAGAAGTCTCATCACCGCACCAACAAAAAACAAAAAATCAAACATACAAGAAAAAAAAATCAAACTTACCCCGATGCGGCGTCGGACTAGGCTGTTGCAACAACGACGCTAAACCGTGATAGACCGCCCCCGCTTTCGCCACCTCCAGCGTGACCGCAGCACCCGTCCTTTGCAGAAACTCGGCCGCCCTTTCCTGCGTGAATGAAGAAGCTTGTAGGACATTTCATTTACTTTCATCCATTCCATCTTTGATAGAGGTTTTTTCACGAATAGATGATAGTTTTTGAGTTATGATCAGAAAACTGGCATTATACAGGGTGTAAATTTGAAAACTTTCAATGCGAATATCTCGCGAAATAAAAAAGTTAGAAAAACGCCGCTTGGCAAAAATGCTAAAGAGTTAAGAGGAACTAGAACCATTATATTTCAGTGAAGGGATGAGTCACCCTGTCAGCGCAACACACCCCTACTTTGAAATGTCAAATGGCACTACCTCTTTTGTGATACCTCAAAAGAACGGTCTCAGTCAGTAGTATTCACCTGTACAAGACTTTTTTTCCACCCACTACAGGGTGTATGAAAAACATTAATTCGAGGGTCTAAATTTGAAAACTTTCAATGCGAATATCTCACTGAATAAAACAGTTTGGAAAACGCCGTTTGGCACAAATGCTACAGAGTTAGGGGGAACTAGAACCACCATACTTCAGTAAAGGGATGAGTCACCCCGTCGGCGCGACACACTCCATCTTTGAAATGTCAAATGGCATTACCTCTTTTGTGATACCTCAAATGAACGGTCTCAGTCAGTAGTAGTCACCTGTACAAGACTTATTTTCCACCCACTACAGGGTGAACGGAAAACATAAAGTCGAATAAAATAAAATGCAGAATGCCGATATATTCCAAGAGATGTGTTCCAAAATATTAGAATGGCATTTGAACATCGATTATAGTATTGCTTACAACAGAATGGAATGCATTTCGAACATCTGATCAATTAAAATATCCTTTTAACACAATTCATTTCATTTTATTCGACTTTATATTTTTCGTACACCCTATAGTGGGTGGAAAAAAAGTCTTGTACAGGTGAATACTACTAACTGAGACTGTTCATTTGAGGCATCACAAAAAAGGTAGTGCCACTTGACATTTCAAAGTTGGGGTGTGTCGCGCCGACGGGGTGACTCATCCCTTGACCAAAATATGGTGGTTCTAGTTCCCCTTAACTCTTTAGCATTTTTGCCAAACGGCGTTTTTCTAACTTTTTTCTTTCGCTAAATATTCGCATTGAAAGTTTTCAAATTTACACCCTGTATATTTCATCAATATTTGGATTTTTTCAGCTCAGATTCAGATTCAGCTGCCCAAAAAACATGTTGAATGAATGAAATCAAAACTTCCCCACAGCTATTCCTCTAGAGGTCTTTTTGAGCACAACTTTGAGACAAACAGTTCCTTTAGATGTTCTCAAACTGTATAATTCAATTTGTCTTAGATCATCGTCTAGATTCTAAAACAATGGGGTTCATTTGCCGAATCTCCCGAAGTATTCATTTTACAGAAAGAAAAAATAATAAGAATTATGACAGGTGGATCTTCCAGAGCTCATTGCTTTAAACAATACCCAGTGCAATACTAATCTTTCAGTTTTAGTGAGCCCTCCTTCTGCCTCTTTCTTCATATAATTCGTTACGTTATTCATCATTTCTCGTCCTTGAATATATATAACAATACCTTGTTTCCAAATTTTTTTTGGGGGCATGATCAGAGATATCTTAGCTTTCAATAAGTACTTAAAGACACAATACTGTGACACCGATTACAACCGAATAAAATAGACTCCACTAATTAACTCAACTAATGGCGACATCGAATACGGCTCCTAATACTAAGGTATCGATGTTCACATGACGGCATCTCTGCGAGATCTTGAATGAATAATGCGAAAGCCGTGCGACGATGCCTATTCTACATCAAAGAATACTGAGAAGTCGATGTCGCTCCACTGACGCAGACATGGGAGTGGTCTGAGAGAGACGGAGAGTACTGTACGATCCAATGAACTCAATACAACTGGAAGGGATACGATCGTTCTCTCGAATAGCACAAGTGTCAGGGGCAGTTGCAACAAAGATAGCATGATTTACGGATACCTGTCCTCTTCCAACTCGTGTTGTTTAATGGTGGATTGGTGTATAAATTTTCTTTTATCTAATAATTAAAGTAGTAAAGAATTTTTTCTGTCATCTACACAGGCAAGAAAGTGAAGACATAAGTTCATTGTCTTAGTTCATGTGAAATACGAGGTGAAATATCTATTCATTAGGCGTGTTTTGTTGTAACAAGAGGACTGAATTTGTTGTTGTGAACACTGAACTGAAAGTTGAGAAGGTTTGTGATTAGTATTGATAAACAATGGTGATTTATTGTGTCGCCTTTGGATGCAAGAAGAATGAACAAAACAAAAGGGAATTAGCATTCCATGGGTATAAGTTGAATATTGTTCTAAGATTTTTGAAAAATATAGTTCATGAAATGATCATCAGTTAGGTTTGCAATGTCCAGTCTCAGAATATGTTCAAAAACTATACCTATATTATTTGTCAAAGTTAAATACTTCCATATTGATATTGAGTAATATTATTTATTGCAGTTTTCCATATAAAAGACCAGACATTCTCGAATTATGGATAAAGGCAGTTCCTAGTGAGAATTGGACTCCAACTAAAAGCAGCAAGCTTTGTGGGGAGCATTTCCTGCCAACAGATTATTCAGGCATACCAGGTACTGCTAGGTTTTTGAAAGCAGATGCTGTACCCAGTATATTTTCATTTCCTCAGCATTTGTTACCAAAAAATGCTGATTCCCCCAGGAAAATAAGAAAACTCATAGGTACCTAGTTGATTAATAATGAAAAGAAAGTATGTTTGCACCTATTTGAAATAAAAAAACTAGCTAGTAATTTGTTTTCAGGATGCATCTGTGGACGTTCATAACTTGGGTCCAAAGGAAGAAGTTTCCCATGTTATTGACTTTGACTTGCCTACCACTTCCAGCTCCCAAGTTTCGAAGTTGATCAATGAAGAAACTCAAACTGTTTCATTAGAGAAGGATATTGTATTGAGGAGGAAAGTGAACACACTGAGACAAAAAGAAAAAAGGAGAGACCTAAAAATTTCAAACATGAAAGAATAAGTAGATCAATCAATTTCCAACAGTAGGTATAGTAATGACAATTAATGAGTGACCTAATGGAGGAATGGGAACCTATGGAAATTATGCTCAAAATGCACTCATCAATACCATTCAAGAACCTCTTTTCAAATTTTTCCTATCGTTTTTCTTTTCCTTCTGATAGTTCTGAGACATTGTGCTTCGCTCACCTTGTACAATATATTGTGAAATTTGGATAAAAATATATAATTTCAATTTTGTCTTCATTTGACTTCCTGATCCTGTAAGAGTAATATTGAAATTTCATTTTAAAGTCAATAAAAAAATCAGTTATAATTTTTTAATGATAATTGATTACAACATTATCCCTTTTCCTAAATGAATATTTTTATTTAATCACGTTTACTCTTAAATAGAAGCAAAAAACGAGAAAATATTTCAAATTATGCGAGCGCTTCCCATTAGCCAACACAAGATAGAGAGAGATAGGTATCCGTAAACACTGCGGGTTGCCTGAAAAATATTTTTGCCTCACTCGTCGTTCACAGTGGGTCCCTTCCAGTTGTTTACATACAGTTCATTGGTACGATCACAGCTGTACTTTGTCAGTGATGATGCCTGTTATGTGGTCCAAAGGGTCACCATGTTGAGTAGTGTGTCTTGATATAAAACAATTATGGTTGTTATTGAGTGTTGTGTCACCTTGAGATTTAGATTAAAGAAGTAACAAATACTAATATAATATTCGATTCTTTTCTGAAAGAACCTACAAATTCAGATCTAATAATGCCTGTGTGTATTTCTTAGTTGATACGATCGTTACCTGCGTGATGCCGGACAGCGGGTGCCCATCGACGGCCAGCAGCTGGTCGCCGGCGGCCAAGCGGCCGTCCCTGTCGGCCGCCCCGCCAGCAACCACTGACTTCACGTAGATGCCGAGCCGCTCCTGGCCGGCGCCTTTGGCCGCCACTATCGACAGGCCCATGCCGCCCCCCGCTTTGTGCAGACGGATCACCTGCACCTGAAGAAGAAGAATTATGAATGCACTTAGGAAGTAGAAGGCGACTGTGTTATTATTTATATTATTATTTTTATTCTGGTTATTGCCTATACTGTTATTCAACAGTAAAAATTCTAACCTATGCTTGGAACGTTTTGCGTACCTCTCATAACCACTGCGCCAAGTCAACAAGTGGTACGCAACTCGGTCAACCCCCAGTGATTCAAAGGATTTTTGGATTAAAGCCATTTACCCCAATGACAGAAAATGCGCAGAGATTTTTACAAATTCAAAGATTACAAGACTTACCATTTTTTGCAGGGTTGCGATGATTCAAATCAAATGACTTTTTCAATTTCAATCGTGATTTGAATCAAATTATAAATTACTGTGAAAACAAGTCGACAAAGTAGATAACTCATCAGGAAATTCCGAGGGAGAATCATTAAACGGGCGTTCATTAAAAAATAAGTGTTTACATTCATTATGTTAGTGCGAGTGTGAACAAAAACGTTACTCAGGCTATCCTATAAAAAACATAAAAAAATGTGTTTAGGAAGTCAGTTGTAATACTTATACAGGAAAACTAATTCATCGGCTTTTTCGGTTCCCAAGCGATTTCGAAATGCGGAATGTACAGTCGCATGCAAAAAAAGCGTTCAAGTATATTACAGAGAGGAATTAACGTCATCCTATCTTCATAAAGCGGGTTATCGGGGATAATTGTTTACCGAATGTTTACAGCAAAGTTGTTATAGGTTCTCAACAACACAAAGCATTTGCTGAACTAGTTTCACACAACTAGAACTAGGACCCCGAAATCCTCTATTTAATACTTGTACGCTTTTTCATTGAATTTGACTGTACCAAACCAAATGTCGAAAACACTCTTTCCACAGATGCTGAAGTAGCTGTAGCAGATAACAGTTGTTTAATGGTGGGCAGTACTTTTTGAATAGCATCAACATTATGTTGGGATTTCCACCAATTTGAAGCTTTTGAAGTTTAGAGAATTCTTCATCAAACATTATGTTAACGCCCTGCGTTAATTTAGAGTTCAAGTCAAACAAATATTGTTGTTTTTTTCATTATTTGGTTTGTTTATCATAATCACGTGAAATATCAATTTTCATTTGGGGTTAAAATATCAATTCATTTGCACTGAGAATAGTCAATGAAATAATACTCTCATTCTGCATCATATTCATGCTCCCTCGTATAGTCAAAATTCGGTCATTTGTTCGTCGGTAGAAGATGCCGATTTGACGGACGTTGAGATATATGATCAGTATCAACTCGTGACTCGTAAAATCAATCTCAGTGGAAAACACTCGCTCTCTCTCTCTCTTTTTCATCAATTTGACGGTTCGCAACTAAATCGATTGTTCGGGAAATTCGAACCAAATATCAGTGTCTCCAACCAAAACCATACAGTCCACTAGCTCAGAAGAATGGGTGGTTGCAACCCCCAGAAATGCTAAGGAGACGGCCGGCTGCATAGGATATAACTTCCAGGTAGGTCCGATACTTGGCAGAATTTTGACTTTTTTTTAAATGCAACCTTACTTCATTCTCTCATCAGCCACATTTGGTCACATTATGTCGGTAAAAGGATCTGATTTTGCCAGGAGTTGAATTATTAGTGACAAGAACCCACTGGGAAGTAGTTCTAGACCTAGACAACGAATATTTTTGGGCGAATAAAGAAAACTAATGTGAATAAGTGCATTAAAATTCATTATTTTCATATTTAAAGAAAAAATGAGTATAAATAAAAAAAAATTCATGATTCAATCGAATTTATCGGATTTTTTTATTTTTTCGAAAAAAATCGTGATTTTTTGCAACTCTGTTCTTTTGTTGACTGAACTAGGAATATATTTCACAATTTTAAAGCAAGTGACGAATGACTTTTGAAGCAGGTTCCTTTTCAGGAAGGATTTCACTAATGATCAGAAAATTCTATGCATAGAACACAACTAATTATCCAAGAAACCAAATTTTCAGTATAATCCTACGTCGCGTTCTCCAGATAGGTCTAATGTGCCATCCACCGTGAATCAGCCTGCATAATCGCAGATATTTTACATAGCAGTTTGAGAGCAACTGAAATGGTGTCAAAATACAGTACTGGCAACTTTGCCTTAATAATTTCTGCCTCTGAACCAGATACCTCTACATGTAGTATATATACCAGGCAACAAAACATATGTATTTGTTATCAAATATGAAAATAAATTTAATTGAAATTAATATAGTTGAATTGAAATGACATAATAATCCTCTCACCTCCGGTTGTGTGGCACTCAACGCAGACGCCGGCCGAGCCGCCGACATATACACCGTCCACCGGCCCGAACTCGTGGGCTGCGCCGCCAACCGGCACAGCCCGGCGGCCTGCAGCGGCTGCAGGAAATCCGCCAATCCAGGCGGCACGCCCTGCACCACGTCGCAGCTGAAGCCGTCGTCGGGCAGCAGCAGCTGGGCGGGCGGCGAGGGGTCGTCGTGCAGACGCACCTCGCGGCCCTCGGCTCGCGCCAGCTCGTCGGCCACGCCCTCGGCGGCCTTGGCGGCTTGCTCGAGAAGGGAGGGGGAAGCGAGGGTCTCGCCCGGTTCGGCTGCGATACATAGAAACGTCATAGTTGATCATTTTTATATTAATCCACTCAATCAGTGAGTACAAATCACGTTCGAACTTTGAATAATGGTCAAGAAACGTGCAAAACTGTAATAAACTGGATGTGAGGGTTCCAAAGTGATATAGTCTGACAAGAACTCGTCGTAATGGTAATCAACATTATATCGTTATCAAGGTCTTTATATTTATTGTTGTTCATTTATATTTCCTCACTACCACAGCCGTCTTCAATTATCAAGCCATGAAGAAGAAACTTGGCAACATTGTCCGAACGACCGAACGTTGCAATCTATAGTGCACCTGTCGGCCATTCAAAGTGTATTGTGTAGGAAGTAAACAAGGAGTTCATGGAAGGTTTTGTTGAAGTTTTCAATTATTAATTGGTGTAATATTGAGATCAAATGATTTTAAAAGTATTAGCAACAATCTAGGAATCGACTCGAGACTGAAAGTGTGTGGCAAGTGCATTCAAAATTGTGTTAAATTGAAGTTTTTTTTTATCGCTTGGAGCGCACGAAAGGGTTATAGTGAAGTGTACTAGTGCTGGTGTATTTGCAAGGGAATTTGTGTTGTTTTTTCAATTTACTCCTGGAAATAAGTAAGTAATTCATTATTCCTTATAAAATATGCCTTCTCATTGTTGTGTACCAGGATATAAGTCAAATTACAGATCTGAAAAAAAGCTGGGAAAGGATCATGTCTCAGTTTTTTTATTCCCAAAAGGGGAAGAATTGCGAAGTGGATAACAGCAATACCTAGAAAAAAACTGGACACCATCTCAACGTTCTGCAGTATGTGCAATTCATTTTATTGAAAAAGATATCATCAGGTATGATACATTCCCTCTGCCAGATGGATCAATTGGAAAAAATTTGTTACGAGCACCACAGTTAGTCAAAACAGCAGTTCCTTCAATTTTTCCAAATTTACCTAATGTTTTTCAAAACCAGCCAAACCATAAAGAAGTGATCTAAATGAAAGACGTCAGAAATATTTAGATATTCAAAGTAATATAATAGAACAGTTTGAAAAATCAGACCTCATCCTCAACTATGAACAGTTAGTTAGGGAATATGTTGAGAAAGATAAAATTGATACTTGGAAAATCCATAAGACTGATGATAAATTGTATTTTTATGAATTAGATTTGCAAGCAAATGTTTTTTATCCCAATGATGTAAATACTTTACAAATCGTTTCTCAAGTTATAATATCCAATGAGATGGAGGTCCAAGTTTTTCTTGGTGATAATAAACTTGGATTCAATGAATTGAAATGGATTCTTACTCATGATATGAAATTGAATAGATGGTCACAACTTGAAATTAATTATTTTATCAGTAAAACTTCCAATGAAAAATTCGATATCTTCATAAGTTTTATTTTATCAAAATGTTCAAAATTACGGCTGCAGTTCATGACCAAGGGAATTATTCAACCACATTATTCCTCGTTCTTCATTCTGTAAGTTCACTCTCGTGCATTTTTTACCTATCCGAGAAAATTACATTGAACCAAACATTCGAAGCTCGCGCTCATATAAAAACCATTGTATTGCTAGGCGCGAATGGGACCGACGGTTTCCGTTCGTGCGACGTTGCCATTATCTCAGCACGGCTTGATAGTTGAAGACGGCTGTGTCACTACCCATAATATATCATGCTGTAATTGATATAGTGTGTCTACCTATTCGAATAAAGATTCGTTATTTTGATATTGTTGTATCCCGACATTTGTGATATGTATTATTGGAAACTTTGACCAGTTTTTATCCAAGGCGAGCAGTGAATAATAAAGTTGCTCGATTAAAATCGCCATCGACACCAACACCTCAACAGAAAAAAAAATTAAGTGAACACTCACGCTTGTACTGCATGAGCAGCGCCCCCATCTGCACCGAGTTCAACTTGAAGCACACCGCCGACAGGCTGGCGAGGTCTTCTGGTGCGCTCTTCGGCGCCTGCAACAGGTGGGCGCACTGCACGACCTTCGCCAGATGGCATTCGGCGGCCAGCTCCAGGCCCTGCGATTCCGCCCACGCCTGCAGGCTGCGCAGCCTGTGGTGCAGTCGGCCGCCGAAGTGGCGCGTGCACAGGTTGCTGTTACTGATGATGGTCGAGAGGGCCTTAAAAGGAAAGGAAAAATGTATTGAAAAGTATACGCCAATCGCCAAACACAGATAAATGAATGGAATCGCGAATGGTGGGGATAGCTCTGCCAAATCATTGTCAGTGAATTGATATTCTATATATACAGGGTGTTCCTTAATGATATGCTGATATTCGAATGGCTGATTCTTCGACCCATTTCAAGAAAAAAACTTCATATGAACATATGTCGTAAATGTCCTAACTTTTGAATGTTGAAAATATGCATAGATTATTTTTTTGTCCACCTTGTATAGCTTTTCGTGATGGGCAAAATTCAGTCTGCTATGTGATTGAATCGGTATGAAAATTTCAAAATGTAACATAAGGTGGTTACCCAGTAATGGATGTCCTAAATGGAGTACTCATACATCAAAATTTGAATTCTGGTCTCGTTTTTCCGTTTTTTCTCGAAAACGAAGCGTTCTATCGAGTATCAACAAGAGGATCTTTTTTGTACATAATTAAATAGCCTTTTAAAGCATTGTATGATATTTGAAAATTTTTCGTCGTTGCCGACTTTTCAGTAAAATATAAACAATAATTTTCCCGTAACGGTGCCACTGGTAGAGAAAATGAAAATTTTAGTACATCAGAAAATGGTCCTTGATGCATAAAATACGTGTACGAAATTTTATACAGATGTATACAATATTGTCTTAGTTATCATAAAAAAATTTCAAAACTTCATCACCCTGTATCTCAAATGTTAAGACCTTTAGGACATACGTTCATATATTAGCATGTCTTTAAGGAACACCCTGTATACAGTGTGTCCCGCTTCTCATGAATACACCCTGATATATCAGTTATTAGTGATGCTATTCTCTTGAAATTTAAGTGGTGATTGTATGTTGGAACAATGAAGTATTTAGCAGAGTAAACAGTTTCTTTCACCATTGGCGTGCAAAGTTGAGGGGTACGAAAAGGGCTTATTTTAAATGACTAATTTAATTAGATTCATAATCAGCATCCCCAAAAACCCCCCCAAATTTCAAAAAAAATTTCTCGAAACCGTGATGGTGATTGTATGTTATTTTTTAACATACAATCACCATCAAAATTTCAAGAAAATCGCATCGTTGATAACTGAGATTTGAAGGTGTTGTCATGAAAAGCAGGATTTTGAAATATTTTATTTTAGCTCTGACGTCGGCGAACAGTGGTGTCGAGAAGAGTCACATACAAAGAGCAACAGAGTTGATCGCAAATTTATTTTGCTTCGTGAATTTTCAACTTTGTCCTGAGTTAGCAACATTGATTTTCTTCGCTCTCCGAATTTGGAGGCCCAACTGGACATAAGATAAAAAAATCACTTTATCACCTAATTTTTATTACACTATAAGTACTACTACGATATCGGCGGTTGAGAAGTTCGATCGAAGGTGAACGGGATATTTTCTATAAATTAAAATGGTGGAAATTCGGACTAGTGATATCAAATATCTAATTTGTATGCATCATTCCTCTTCTCAGGTTATATTTCTCAGATCCTTACCCTCCTCTAAAACCTTAATGTTTTCCTACAATAATCAGGAATTGGTGAAAACAAGGAAATTCCGGTGGATAAATTGAATATTTGTTAGTTGCAGGGTTTTGATTCGGTAAATCAAAACTCGAAAGATATACGAAGCAGGTGGAAACCGCGATCCATTCAAAAACCATTTAAAAGTATACGCCAATAATCCTAAAATAGCGAATGGTCGGGATAACAGACAAATAACAATGAAAAGACATCGAGATTCATTCGTAAATCATTAGAAAGTATATGCCAACAATCCTAACCATCTCGCACGGATGAATGAATGGAATCGCGAATGGTGGGGATAACCCTGCCTCTCGCGTTGGGATTGATTCTCAACGGTCTCACTGCGGGATCAGCATTGGATCTTTCTAGATCGAGCAGTAATGCTGAATCGGAATTTGTTACAAGATTGAGTTCGACGAATTAGAGGCACGTTTTGAGATCGGGTTAGACACGGATAAATGAATGCAATCACGAATGGTGGGGATAACTCTGCCTCTCGCGTAGAGATTGATTCTCGGACCAGATCTCAACGGTCTCACTGCGGAATCAGCATTGATCCTTCTAGATCGAGCAGCAATGCTGAATCGGAAGTTGTTACAAGATTCAGTTCGACGAAGAAGAGGCATGTTCTGAGATCAAGTTAGACTAAATAACGATAGAAAGACACCGCAATTGATTCATAATTCATTCAAAAGTATATAGTAAAGTAAAATCATCCACTTTCCTAGCTAGCGAGAACGAAAGAGTATCACCTTATATCAGATTATATCTAGTGGGTGTCGATTAAAAACTCACCTTCGCCGACAGCCAATGGAACAGCTGCGAGAACATCTGAATCGTCAGCGCGGCATTCACCCTGCACCGCCTCAGCAAATTCATCGCCCCGCTCAGCACATTCACCACGTCCCTGGGATGTTCGTCGCCCGCCACCGACATCAGCCCACCCATGGCCGAATTCAGCTCGTCGACGAGGCAGGCCACTAGATTCCGAAACGCCAGCTGGACGGCGTCAGCCAAGGCATCCTGGGCTTGTAGGGAAAAAGCGCCTACGTGCCGGTCAGATTTCAGGAAGTGGAGGAGCTCGCTGGCGTTGGCTAGCCAGAAGGCTTGTGCTGCGCTCTCGGTGCTCCTGTCTTGGACGGTGTGTCTGCAGGGAAAAAAATAGAAGATTTGAAATAGTGAAGGGTGTACTGTGTTGGCGTTACAGTAAGCAACTAGGTAGGAAAGTAGCTCAAACACATTTCGAAGAGCCAGAACCATCGAGTTTCGCATCAAGGACTCCTCTTCAAGCTTCCATCTTATGGCTTGCCTCCCCAGCTATGTTCTCTGCTAGCTAGTTTTCTCTCAAACAGGTCTCTCCATGTAGTGGTCGACGAAGTTTTATCTGACTCACTTATCATAAATGCTGGTGTTCCGCAAGGATCAATTCTAGCACCAACACTATTTCTACTCCATATATCAACGATTTGTTGGAAGCAACTTCATGTCCAGTGCACTGCTTCGCGAATGGTAGTACCCTCCATACAGCCTTCTCTTCCAGGGCTCCAATACCAGACAGGCAAATCAGAATCGAACGAGGGAGAAATGTTGACAACATAAATATGGACTTGGCAACAATTCTCGAATGGGGATCGAATAACTTGGTAGATTTCAATGCAAACAAAACACAAGCATTCCTTTTCTCTAGAAAAGCCGATCTCACTGTGCCCAACATAAGCTTGTCAGGAGTAACCATACCTTTGAAGACATCCATTTCGATGATTGGTATTACTATCAGCAATAACCTTTCTTAGGAAAATCACGTGAGATCAATTGCTAAAAGTGCATCCCAAAAACTTGGTTTTCTGTTACGGGCCAGGAGCTATTTCACTTCCAGTCAGCTGCTTATGATCTATAAGGCACTGATCCGACCTGTCCTGGAATACTGTTCCCATATTTGGAGTGCAGCACCCAAATATACCCTGAAACTGTTGGATTCTGTCCAAAAAAGGGCAATTCGACTCGTGGGTGATGCCTCGCTCACAAATTCACTCACTAGGGCTGGGCCTTTTATATAGGTAATCTCGCTGAAGGTACCCAAAGGGTGGGGGAGCTGCTCGTACGCGATCAGAGTGGGAAGGATTTCTTGGAGTTGAAGGAAAAACGGCTAGTGCCTTACCTGAGAAGCTAGGGCGATACCCGGACGAGTTAGATATTTATGGAAATTCGAATGAAGTAAATCGGTTCCCAGAATTTTCACGGTTGGGAACAACACGAACTTCCATCTAATTATTTTTACAACTTCCTTGTTCTTTATTTGATGTCGTTGATACGTTCGTTTACTTGAATTCTCCATCTATTTATTTGTCCTAATGTTTGACTGTCAGTGCTTGTCAAAGTGTCCGTACTCTAAATTGCGTGTGTAAAAGTGTCAAGTCCATTGAGGAACTATTATGTCCTTCGCATACTGCATAAAATGCTTCTTCTACACTTTCCTTTAAAATGATAATACAGTATTGTGAAATTTAAAAATTACAAGCTTCAGGCAAACAAAATACAGAAGTACATTGAAAAAGTGCGCTTTTTCTGACAGTCGCATGATTTTCGAAAAAATTCTCCTTACCTGACGAGCAAGGCGGCGTGTTGCAGCAGCCCCGTCAACTTATGCGCCCGCTCGGTCGGCGTCAGCTCGGGCCGGTAGTGCGTCGACGCCCTGTACCTGGCGCACAGGTAGAGCGCATAGGCGGGCGCCAGACGGAACGTCGGCTGACCAACGTCCAGATGCGTGATGACGCGCGCCAGGAACTGCTCCTGCGGCTCCTCGGGGAACTCCAGCACGGCAGGCAGGATGGGGTCGTGACCGCGGGGGTAACGATCGAGGCCACTTAACCTAAAAAATATGTATTTCTGGAGGTGAAACATTGAAACACAAGATAACTTTTCTGAAAAAAAAAAGGAAACACATCCTCACTTTTCTTATCTGTTTGCAAAGGAATCAAGAGATTGAAATAGTTTTTCACGATATTTTGGCATAGGAATCGTGTTTTTTGGGCTGTTCGTTAATTCAAGCAAAACATCACATTGTGCTGTTTTCCGGTAAATAGTGATAGTATTTTTAAAAACTAAAGAAACGCCCTTTTATAGATAGCCAAATCAGAAAGAAGTTGAAAATAAAATAATAAAAGTGTGCTGATAAATACACAACATAAACAATATTAGCATCTCCGTAATCAGTACATTCTATATAATGTGTACTTATCAACACACTTTCATTATTATATTCTCTACTTCTTTTTAGTTTGGCTATCTAGGAAAGGGTGTTTCTTTAGTTTTTCCAACTACTATATATTTAATCCATGATAGATTATGAATAGATTCATATAAGCAAGACACACCAAGTCATCTCCACAAATTTATTAACTGAATTATCAGTTATTTCGGAATATCAGGCGAGATGCGAGACAGAAGCAGGGCCGTAAAGAGTCACATGTCAATGAATAACAAAATTTTCACAAGAAATGTTTCAAAAACAACCAGATAAACTGAGGAAGGATTCAAGATAAGGCAAAGTACTAACCAAGAAGAGAATCCTAGTTAGAATTTGAGGGCGTTGAAAAATTTCTGGCAATCAAAATTTGTTTGTTCATTCAAGGATATAATGTTGTCTTCAATTGATTCATTAATTTCAAATATCTCTAATAAATTTAGAAGGGTGCCCTTATGGCAAATGTGTACAACTTCAAGGTCGTTATTTATATCGAAGTGATGATTACAATAATTGAGGATATGATTAGCAAATCAACTTATTGTATTGTATAAATCTCTGGGAGAATTTTTATAGCTGTCAATCAGTTTAACATGTTCATTAACACGAATTTGAATTCTCCTTCCACTCTGACCATATTGTGCCCAACAATCAGGGTGTGAACAAGAGATTTTATATACACCGGATCTATATTAGGAGGAATAATGTATTTGGTGTTGACTAACAAACTGGAAATTGTATCTGTGGTATAAAATGAAACGTTGATATAAATATCATCGTTAGAACGTTGTGACATTTTTTTAGATCGTATGGAACTTTACTCAGGAATGGAATGAAGCAAAAAAGATTTCTATTATTATTGAGTGGAATGAGACCTTGATTGATGAATTTAGTAGAATATTTGTTGAAGATTTTGTCAATGAGGTACAGAGGGTACCCATTGTTAACGGAAATCTGCTTGATAATATTCCTTCAGTATTGAAGTTGAAAGTAGTTAATGGTATATTGAATAATATCAATACTATATATTTTCCTTTTTTAATTTGACTAACTACAGAAGTGTGTTTTTTGTGTCTGCCATATTGTATCCGCCATTCTGACGAGAGAATCATAATCTCCGACTTCGAAAACTACCAGCAACTGATTTTGAATAGAATCTTAAGCTTTCAAATTTTGACGAGAGAATCATAATTGTCGACCTCGTTAAACCCCAGATACCAACTTTGAATAGAATCGGTTCATATAATTATTACAAAAATCGTCCACCATATTGGATCCACCATGTTGAATTTTCCAATTTTGATGAAATAATCATAATTTTCTACCCCGAAAATCCCCAAATACAAGTTTTAGCTAGAACCGGATCATATTTACATGTGCCCATCTTAACTTTTGATTCACTATCTACTGACATTCAATTGGAACATATACAAGGTGATCAGAATTCTGAAGTAGATAGTAAATCAAAAGTTGAGAAAGTTGGGAAATCTCAATTTTGAACACCCTATATCTCTGTAATCATTTCCGGTAGACATCAACTGTGATGCATTGATGGAAGCAGCTCTTCAGGGAGAACCTAAAAATGCAATGAAATACAGGGTGCTCCATTTGAAAATCGAGAGTTGATGCCTGATACGCTTCAAGATTTCAACTTTCGAATATGATTATTGCAGAAAAATTGTGTCCCCGCCAAATTGAAATCGACCTATCCGAGCGATTATCAATTTTTTTTTAACATCGGAGATTAGGGGGGTGACAAGTTTTAGCTGGGACACACTGTATACATACAGGTGAAGCTAATAAAAGGGTGTTAATAAAATAAATAGCGACAAAGCTGAAAACGAAGCGTGGCCAGCTATGACCTTACCTGTTCTCCGAGGCCGATCCCAAAGATCTGTTGTCTTCGCGGGTGCCACTGGCGGTCGAGATAGTTTCCACGTTTCCATCCAAATCGAAAGTAGTTTCGATGTTGTCTCTAGATTGATCGTTAGGACTCAATGGACGCGGAGAACGGCTGTAGGGGGTAGCGAAACAAAATAAAATGCAAATAATAATAAAATAAAGATGAGTAAGCATGGAGGTTGTGTTATAAACAAACATAAATGGACAGGTAGTTTCGGTTTTCGTCTACCAAATTTTTATAGGGTAAACAAGATTTGATGACTGATGATCCTTACTCTTTGTTCTTGAGAAAAAACTAGACTGTTTTTTCTGCATGAAAATATTGTAGGGCATGACCTACCAGAATCACTAGGACTATGTGCCGCCCAGTATCTTGGAAGATGATATGTGTTTTCGAATTTTCACAAAAGCTGTACGACAAATTTTTATCAAATTCTGACAAATCATACTTGTATCAAATCAAAGTTATTTTTTTTTTATATTTCCTGAATAACATATTTTGTATAGTTCCAGGAAACAAAAAGAAAACATCCTGTAGCTTCCACGAGCATGAATTGAAATATAATTTTACATCATATTTTGAATCACCATGTAAAAGCAGATTCTACAGCGTGAAATAATGGGATCATAACAATAAACTAGTGTTTACGACTATGACACACAAGATGTTTGGTAAATTACTATACAAATTGTTATTGTTTCAAGTTGATTCACATCACTATTCCATTTCAACTCATAACTGATCAAAGTGAAACTCCTAACAATGTAGTCTCCACAACTATCGTTAAGTAATCAGGATTTACTTAAGGGGCATGATTCAGACACTATGGTCCATTATCAGCTTCATAAAAAATAAACAATAGATAATAAAAACCGAGATATAAACTAACAATAATAATAATTGTAGAACTGTGTTTTGTAAGGTTGATGATGGTCCATAGTGTCTGAAACATATTTCTCGAGTAACTAGTGATAAATGTTGTGATAGTAGGAAGCATTAGAAACGATAAGATTTCCACAACATTCTTGATATCACGCTAATACAGAATCTAGCGTCTTCAAGTGATATACTTGTACATTAAAAATTAAAATTTGTTGAGAGTTTTCAACATTCACACCCATTTACTATGGATTTCCATCAAATAACGACAGTGTCAAAATAAAAAAAGAAACATGTTGCGGAGACGACATAATTGAAAGTTTTGTTTCGAGCATATCACTTCTTCTTCTCTTTGGGATTATTGGATTTCTGTCCCCTTTCGGTAACAATTTCTGTAGATCAGGTAATTAATTTTTTTTGCAATAATAAACTTGTTTATTCAATAATATTATCACTCGACTCGCCCTTCAAGACAACGATTGTCTATCACAATGTATGTACAATGTATGTACTTCTCATATCCAACAAATCCGTTGTTGATCCGGCCTGGGTACCGGCGTAGAGATACTGTAGGAAATTTGACTTCAAGTATGGCCCCCCTTATCCTATGAATCCGTCATCTTCCGGTCTCTATACCGGCGTAGAGATGAAAGGGCCTGATGTTTTTCACACACACTTATTAAACTTCACATTAAATATTGGATTTTAACTCAGATCAGATGATTAGAAAATGTTGGACTTGCAGACACATTGACCTGACTTTTGGCCATGTTTCTCCTACCGTGGCCAAAAGTCGAATGGACCATATCCCAACACTATGGGAAAAACATGGACTTCTACCTGCAAATGATTGAATCTTAGTAAAAAAAAAGTCCATAGTAGGTCAGGAGTGACACCAAGCCAATGAGGGTTTCGGGCTTATAACTATACACACATATGCCTGAGCCCACCCATCATCAGCCAATTGAATAGAGTTAACCTGATAACTGATTGGGTTTACTACAATATTTCATTCCATGATGCTAATACCACAGCACAAACTATACTGAATCACAAGAAAAAAGCGATTGCGACCGTTTTTTACTATTATACAACATCAAAGATGATTCGAACATTTTGCTGATTCACTGATAAAAATTTTGTATATACCGAATGTATCTATTGAGAATTCCCAAAAAATCTAGAGATATGAACATAATAAATCTGATGACATGTAAGGAAGAGCCTCCAAGGCAATGCCGACATGAAAATGACTTCGATTATAAGTCATTAATATATGAACACTGAGAACGTTACCATTGTGATGCAATGACATATTTCATAGTCAATTCTTTGTAAAACTGTTCGTTAAACTGGCTGAAGATGGAACTTGTTTAATCCCGAAACAACATCAAAAGTGTTGAGTAATTTCACCAAACTTCCACTGACAACGAATCCGGTATTCCATGCATGATACACAAATACATTGAATAAATAAAAATGGTGCTTGCTCCAACTGCAACGTGCAACCCAGAAAACAACTTTTTTATAATTATTTTACCTCCCGAAGGCTCCTAAGCCAATTCAATATGCAATATCTCTTCAATATTTCTCCCCACTGTAGACCTACCTCCTCTACCTGTCTCACTCACTCACCTTTCGTAAACCCTCGCCGAAACACCTTCATCTAGCGCTCCAAAGGCCGGCCTGCCACGATCCTCGTGCTGTGGATCCAAGAATCTGTAACACGCAAAATAGTTCACACTCAACAACAATTTTTATTCTATTTGTCAAAGTGAAATTTTATATTTTCCTTTGTGTTCAGAATGAACATTCCATAAGGTTGGAAGAGACTTTTTGTGGCCTTATTTTTTATATTGATTGATTTCAACCAAAATTAAATAAAAATTCAAGTCAAATGTGCGAACGGCAGCATTTCGCCAGAGAACAGATAAGTGGATTCATAATGATTGCAGATAGTTCAAATTCAAGTTCAGAGGGCCTACTCAATTTAAAAAAAATACTGGTACTTGAATAATTGAGAAAAACAAATATTTGAGAAGATACTTACAATGAATACTTATAAAACATTTAAATATTATCCTTGCAACTTCAAATATTGCTCTGATGCAAATTCGAAAGACACCATGCAAACAATGACTAAAATGATTCTGTAGTAATTTCAAATGCTACAATAACTTTTCGAATCTTCCACGATCTTTAAAACTTTCCGTAAGGTTCTAGAATCAATCTAGAAGGTCCAAAGATGTTCCAGAATATACCAAAAAACTTCCAGAACCTTCCAGGAAGTTCCAAAAACTTTTGGAACCTTCCATAATGTCCAAAAGAATGTTCAGAACCTTCCAAAATGTCCCAATACCTCCTAGAACGTTCCACGATGATATATAACATTCCATAATGTTCTAGAATCTTCTGTAAGGTTCAAAGATGGTCCAGAATAACCCAGAAAACTTCCAGAACCTTTCAGAATGTTCCAAAATCATGAACACCCTTCCATAACGTCCAACCAAAAAATGTTCAGATCCTCCCAAAATGCCCCAAAACCTCCTAGGATGTTACACGAGCATATAAAACATTCCATAATGTTCTAGAATCGTCCATAAGGTTCAGAGATGATCCAGAATATCCCAAAACACTTCCAGAACCTTTCAGAATGTTTCAAAATCATTTGGATCCTTCCATAAAGCCCAAAAAATGTTCAGATCCTCCCAAAATACCCCAAAACCTCCTACAATGTTCCTTTATGTTCTGTAATCTTCCATGATGTTCTAGAATATTCAATAATGTTCTAGAATCTTTCAAAAAGTTGCAAAACGTTCTATAAAACATTCCATAATATTCTTGAATCACCCATAATGTTCTGGAATATTCCATAATGTTCTTTAATATTCCATAATGTTCTTGAATCACCCATAATGTTCTGGAATATTCCATAATGTTCTGGAACATTCAATAATGTTCTAGAATCTTCCAAAAAGTTGCAAGAAAGCCCCAAAAAACTCATAGAACCCCCACATATTGTTCCAAATTCTCCTAGAACCATCCAGAACATTCTCGACCATCCTACAATATTCACCTGTAGGCGTTGCTGTGCTGGCCGAACTTGACGACGCTGCCGTGCCTGAGCGGCGTCGTCTGGTGGATGCGCCTGCCGTCGACGTAGGTGTGCGCGTCGGCGTGGCACGGCGTCAGCGTGGTGGCGCCGTCGGAAGCGGCGCCTGACGCAATGACGCAATGGCGCGGCTGGATGTGCGGGCCGTACAGTTGCAGGGCGATGCCATTGGCCGAACCGACCTGGAACACAATATTACAACTATTTAGTAGAATATTTTTTTCTGCAACCGACACAAAAGTCGTCCATTTTGATACCAAAATCAGCTTTTAAATTGACGTTCCTATTACTGTCAAAAAATAGGTATGATGCTAGGCAACATATTTAGTTCCTAGGAGCTTAAGTTGAACTTTAGCTCCATGGAACTAAAGTTGAACTTTAGCTCCTGGGAACTAAAATGGATGTACTAGAGGTCATCAAGAATAATAACATTGTTAGGGTTGATTATTTGGGTTGGGACGCATCCCTGATTTGTTTCCGATTTCAACAGATTTGGTATTTCATACTTATGCTGGAGATCAAGGGTATAGTTGAGTATTTTTGTTATGATCAGGAAAGCTTTCAAGATTCACATAAATGCTTGATATGTATTTCATTCGTGTTTCTCGGGATGGATAACTTGTTTTTGAATAATCACGGCAAGCAATAGTTTTTTTGTCTTGTTTACCTTCATTTGATCATCAAGTCTAACACAGTGTAGTATGGAGAGGAATAAATTATCGCTATTATTATTATTGTTTGTAATGCTCAATAACCTAACATTTTCCACGTCTTGTTCCTATACCTGGCACTGGCGCGGTATTTGCCATTATAAGAGCACCTGGTCCATACACAAATGGGTCACTCTGTAGTTGTATTTATATCGAAACTACAATTCGAACATTCTTGAAAATTGAATGAACCTGATCTGTTAATGCAGGTAGAATATTCTCACCATACGGATTATTTGTTGCATTGCATACATATGGCACGGCATTGGTGATTACTTCACATATTTATTTTAGTTAATTCTTTCGGTTGCAGAAAAAATAGCATGTTTCATTCGGATCAAAAGTGACTTTGTTTGATTCGCAAAATATCAAACAAAGTGTCACTTTTGATGTTAATGAAACAATCTACTATTTTTCTTTATTTTGCATCTCTAATGAAGTCATTATGACACCCAAATGCGTATCGAAACAGCTTCCATTAACAAACGTACTCTCGCCAGTCATTCGATTGATATAGCATGCTGCCACGCTGCGGAAAATCTCAAGGTTATCAGAAGGTTATGAGCATAAGGTATTATGTAAGAAAAATATCGTTTCTGCATGTAAAAGGAGACTACTTTTGACACCCCGGCCTAAATGACCCTTTTTCCTGAAAAGTATATTTTTTCGAAAAATAACTTGGGTGAAAACAGAAGGTTGTAAGTATGAGGAAGGAAAATATCTTTACTGCATGAAAAAGGTGACTTCTTTCAACCGAACTCGTCCTAAATGATTGTTTTTTCGAGGATATTTTCGAAAAATTACTTGTAAAAGAAGAGAAAAAAATTGATGCCTCGCAGGGATTTGAACGAGAGCCACCGCCGTGGAATTCAGACCACTGAGCTATCGAGCTACTCAAAAGTTCTGTGTATGAAGAAAGAAGAAACATCTAGTGTTGGCTTGTTTATCACAACAAGCAGCACAGCAGCATGCTGCTAATCGAATAACTTGCGAGAGACATTTATTTTTATTAAGACACGCTGAATTTATTGTTTCAAAGTTGGTAATGGTAACGTCAACGTCAAACTGTCAGACACACTAGAGACAGAACGCAATAAATAACTATAACATTAAAGGTATCTTGAGCATTTATTACATGCCCATTAGTCTGATTATCCAAGTTATTGTGTGTGCATTGCGACTGTGAGGTAGAGGCATCAGAATGTGTTGTAGAAGTTGAAGGCTAAGAAGAAAACAAATGAGTTAGCTACCTCAATTTTTCTCTTCACAGAGCTTATAATGTATCAATGTGTGACTTTCCACAACTGCCTCTATTTGCTAAATGGGACACACTAGAACGCCGAAAACAATGTCCAGTAAAAATTTCAGGATTTAGTAATTTACGATATTCTGCAATGATTCTTGGCATTTTTCCAATTGTGTTGATTCTATTTATGCAGTAACTATTGCGGTATATAGGTCAATAAGAAGCGTTAACATTTACATATTGTGGTAGTATAGGTCACCAGTTTGACACCATACTTGGAAATTGTGAAATTCTCGTTCATAAGCTGGACGAGGTTTCTTGGGCAAAAAATCATTTATAGTCGTTTGGACATATTTCCTCAGTTCAGGAAGGGTGCAACTTGAGTTTTCCTCGCTAGTCATTCTCAAAATAGGAAATTCAGAATTTTTATAGAATAGAAATTTAACCAGTAGTAGTTACTCGAATATTTCAACGTCTTTATGTTACACCCTGTATATCCAGTTTGAAAATAAAAGACTTCTCGTTGAAAAGTATACTTTACGTACAAAATTCGTAGTCAAAGAATTCAGCTCAAGGCTTTCAAATGCTCATCCTTGGACAGTTTATTGATAATGATGACGTCACAAAGACAGGTAAAAAAACCTCATGGTACAGCGCGACTCACCAAAGTCATTTCGAATAATCCACTAATATATCGCCAAACCACCCACTACAAAAAAAAAATACGAGCACCAACACAACATCGACCGTGACATCGAGTTAATGCCCCAATGATAGTTCACTGTCCCGTCGACAAGCTTTCTGCCATTATTTAGTGTTCACTGTTGGGTATTATTTCCCAAAAGTATGTCTGCATGCGCCTACAACATACGATACACGTCGTGCGTCAAACAATGAACACAAATATTCCCACGTGCGTTTCGTAAATCGACGTGCCACCACCATGCACCATGGATTAGCATTATTTGTAAACTGGGCCCAACATAAGGTCTTTAGATTCCAGCTCGAAGAGTCATGATGTATAAACATCCAATCTTTGACATATTGAAATCCGCAGTATCGAGGAAAAATCCCCACACTTGGCAACACTCGGCACCTGTTGAATGCAACCTGTTGATCCGGCAGAAAATTGAACGCTTCATAGCTCGACCAGTCCACTTTTTTCCACAAACCAGTAGAGTCGAGCGAGACCAGAGAATGCTCGTCAAGATAAGAATAAACTCTTTACACTGTTTGAATTTTTCAAGAAAATGTTTACTTGCACCAAAAAAATACTTTGTAAACTGTGATCAATAACAGGTCTCTAGATTTAGACTCGAAAGTTAATGTTTCGCAAACATGTCACCTTTGGCATATTGAAATCCGCAGTATCGCGGAAAATCCCCACACTTGGCAACACTCGGTACCTGTTGAATTCAACCTGTTGATCCGACAGATAATTGAACGGTTGAACCATGAAAGAGAAGAAGAAAAAACCAGTAGAGTCGAGCGAGAGCAGTGAAGGCTCGTCAAGATAAGAATAAACCTTTTACTGTTTGAATTGTTCAATAAAATGTCAACTTGCACCAAGAAAATACTATGCACACCTTGATCAATAACAGGTCTCTAGATTTCGGCTCGAAAATTAATTCTGTACAAACATATCACCTTTGGTATTGAAATCCGCAGTATCGCGGAAAATCCCCACACTTGGCAACACTCGGCACCTGTTGAATGCAACCTGTTGATCCGACAGGAAATTGAACGCTTTATTCGCGGGAATCAATGTTACCAGGTGGGCTCAGTTTCCATCGTTTCATGTCAAAGTCACGTCAAAACTGAGGGAAAACAAACTCAATCCTTACTCAATCCCATTAGTGCCATTAGCTTGTGTACTGTGTACTGATAATAGTGATAACACTTTATGTTATTGACAAGTTTGACAACTACAGCTACAGCAAGATGTATGCGATGTAGTCTATGCACTTAATCCATAGACAATAGTTTGTTTTCCCCCAGTTTGAAGTTCGTATTATGTAACCTAGATGGCGCCCACTTCGTGAATCTCGCGAATAGCTCGACAAAGTCCACGTTTTTCGGCCTTGAAGTCGAACCATGAATGAGTAGAAGAAAGAACCAGTAGAGTCGAGCGAGTCCAGTGCAGGCTCGTCAAGATAAGAATAAACCTTTTACTGTTTGAATTGTTCAATAAAATGCCTACTTGCACCAGGAAAATACTTTGTAAGCCATGATCAATAACAGGTCTCTAGATTTCGGCTAGAAAATTCATGCTGTATAAACATGTCATCCATGACATATTGTCGCAACTCAGATGGTTCTAGTAGGTTATAGGCAATACCAATCAGACGAACTAGACAAGCCCAGTCAGCACATCCTTTCGTTGTCAACCTCGAAAGATGTCGAACAGCACTTTATCAAGACTCCTTCATCCATAGAACGGCTAGGCTCTGGAATTCATTGCCTGTGGAAGTATTCCCAACAACATATAATCTCCAAAAATTCAAAAAAAAATCCAATTCCTACCTCCTGTCCCAATCCTCCCTAGGAACGCACGATGTTCTTTGAACATTATAGGGATCCTCTTTCGTGCGCTCCAATCGATAAAAAAAAAAATTATGAAGAACAAACGACGCCTTCACCACGTGTCGCAACTCAGACGTTGACCCTCCTATAGGTCGTAACTTAGCTAGTCGCTTGGCTTTTTGACGAGAAGTTTTAATCATTTCACCACCGAACCACATTCATCTCATAAAGAGTCAAGACAGTTTTCGTATAAAATTTGACATTTATTGATTAAATGTAAAAATCGTAGATAAATGCTTGACACATGGCAGGTTACCAGGCTTATCTAGGTATTATTTTTATTGAAGAAGAAATACAAACAGGACGTCGAGGCCCTAATTACACGGTAAGCTTTTTTTTTTTTGCAAATTTTAAAGGAACTGACGTCTATGAACTCCGCTGACCTGATCGAAACTACAATGTATTGGATGTTATAATTCGCAAAAGTTAGTTATCATAAATTAAAATGAACATGAGTTTGAGTTATGTTAATTCATAGGCATTTGTACTTCTTCTTGAAATCCGCAGATTGGCGGAAAATCCTCAGACCTGGCAACCCTCGGCACCTGTTGAATGGAACCTGTTGATCGGACAGCAGATTAAACGCTTGACATCTCGACCAGTCGACTTTAAAGTCGGATTAACAGATGGATGAAAAAAAGAA